ATCTAGCTCTTCAAAATGAGTATTTTTTACCAGTTTCTGTGCATCTGATGAGTCAGGCTTCTGTTACGGATACTTGCAGAGTTTTCAGTTGTCAACAAAGTCAACAAAGATGAAGCCTTATTTCTTCTAAATGGTATGTGCATTTGATCATTATTTTCAATTAATAAAACAGCATGACCTTACATTAACCTTAGAGTTGAGCTATCCAACTATTTGATGCTCCTCTGGTCTCCTTGGATGGGTGGCAATCGGCTGGCGTAAGGGGCAGCTTGTGGAGCAGAGTGAGTTGGAAGCCCTCTAGCGGGAGCCAGCGAAGTGCAGGGTATGAGCGGCCGGGGAAGGTGGGAGGCAAGTAACTGGAAGGAAGCCACAGAAAGGAGAGGGCAGGGGGAGAGAAAAAACACTACCAAGAAAACCTGCAAAAACCATCAGAGCTTGACAGCAGAGGTGGCAAAGAGTGGTGCTTCATGAAAGAGATTTGGGGGAGTAGCTGTATTGGTGGGTGGAGAGGATGAACAGAGGCAGTTTGTCAAATGAGTGAACTGGGGAAAGGTGGTGTCTGGAAAAGCCATGGAAGTCAGGCCAAAAGCCGTCTAGCTCAGGACCAAGACTCCAGCAAGAGTGTGTAGTGATCCATCCTGTTTATTCTCACAGCCTTTGCCAGCTTATTGTTTAGGGCTTCTTCAGTCAGAGGTAACATCTGACTGAATTCATCTTTGTGAATTCTTAAATTTTCCCCTGTAAATCTGCCCCTTCTGTGACACACACAAATTGCTAGATAGGTCAAGTGATATCCCCTGAAACAGCTGAAGCTTGCAAAGGACCATAGGAAGACTCCAAACAGAGAAAGAGTGGTGAGGTATAAAACTATAGAAAAATTCCAGTAGGTGGGAGCTGAATAGAGCAGCAGTGATAATAAAGTAAAAGAACAGGAGAAAGATTGGTATATAGTTCTTCTAAGAATGATAGGCAAAGAAAAAAAAGGGGGAAAAGAGAGTGCAGAATGTCGCTAAACAGTGGAAGAGGAGCTGGACACCGTGGTCAGAGGTGTTGTAGCAGGAACAGGAGCAAGACACCAGCTCCAAGCCAGGGATGTTGAAGAACAAGGTATGGGCCCTGTGTCCTGTAAGGGAATTCAAGCAGGTTAAAGTCACACACAGCTGTAATCCCTTTCAGGACTGAAGACTGGCCTGGAAAAAAAGGAAAGGATTTAAGGCTGAAAATAGTGGTATAATTTAATATGTAACTGGTAATAGCCAAAGGATGAGCAGAGGTGTCAACCCCCACTAGCTGTGTGGATAGGGAAAGCTGAGCTGGAGAGAATTGCAAATGAGCCCTAGCAAAGATGGGGAGAGCTGAGTCAAAAAGAGAGTCTGTTACCTGCTTACAAAACAAAGCATGTCTAAAAACATGCTACAGAAGTGAGGGAAGGGATGCATCATTGTGGGAGTGACTAAAAAGGAAAGAAGATATAGGGGGCAGGGGGAAGGGTCTTTCAGGGCAAAAGGGTGTCCATAGGATCTTTGGTATCTATGTGATGCTTCTGAACAGGCATACCCACCCTGAGCCTTTCCAGGAGGCTAAATTCAGCAGCACCTTTGCTTCACTGGTTGCTTGGTTTTAGTTGCTGTTGTTGCTCTGGAGCAGTCAAGAATCATTCAAGGAGATTTTGCTGTACTAATTAGCAATTATTTTTACAGTGGTTGTGTTACTAACTATTGATTCATAAACTGCAGGGACTGTAAATCTGCAGGCATAAGGGGGGGTGACAATTTTTGTGTTGGTGATTTAAAAGGGCAGAACTTTAATGAAGTGGTAAGTATGTTTTGCTTAGTGGTAATGCTGTGATAGTAAGGTAATTGATGATCCCTGATTTACCTAAAAAGTATCATTGACTTTGTCTTTAATTATTTGATTAATAGTTGATTCCTGGTGAGATTGCCTTGGAGGTTAGAATGAATATGGTTTAAAATGTTAAAACAAAAATTTCTTCACTGTTTTTAAGCTTTTGTTGTTTGTTCATGGTTAGTTTATTTATGGTTTCTTAGCTTCTAAACATGCTCACTGAAATCAGGGATTTTCTGACTGACCTCTTTGGAACCAGGCTTGTATCCACCATTTTACCAGAAAAGTTTGTCATGAGCTACTGTTCTAATAGATTTAGGTTCCAGATCTACTAGCAGCCCTGCCTGACAGTCAATCACATAATGAGAGATTTATTTAAATTGGAAATCATCAACAATGAGATATTGACTTAAGTCAGGAAATGAGCAGAGGTATGGTCATGGTATCACTACTATGCAACGTCCACACAATCAGACTCTTCTGGAGGTAGAAAGATGTGGAATTAATTCCTTCAGGCCAAAGAGAGTTCTGGAGGACCTTGTGAAGGCCAGGCCCTCATTCTTGCTGCATCCTGTAGCTGTGTTTTGAAAGAAAAAAGCAAGACAGTCACTTGTTCCCAGAGCAATTTGGGCATATAAATCCAAGGGTTTGATCTAGCTTGTAAAGTACAACTCAGAACTCCAAGTCCAGGAAGGAGGATTTCAGACATACTTTTTTGCTGTATCTGACAAAGTTTATTAATCCTTCCTATGCTGAAGTGCATTGTCATTTGTTTCCACGCATTGTATAAACAACAAAGCTGAGCAAGTTACAGACTTAAAGGTTATGGCAATCTTTCAGGTATAGCAGCACCTTTTCTGCATCCAAGTGGTTCTGTCCCTATATCGTGCCTGTGCAGAGCAGGACAGGGACAAGTTCACCTGCACTGGGGCTCTCAGATTTTCTAATCTGATGAAGCTTTCGTACCCTTAGAAAAGGCAGGAACACACTGAAACTGGGAGGGAGGAAGAGAAAGAAACCTTGATTTTTAGGTTCTTATATTAGGGTATTTTCAATTCATGACACTGACACAGAAGCAGCAGGAAGAGAAACCTCGAGTCCCAGTGGTGTGGATTTATTGTTGTTATTTTAAAACAGCCAGGCTAAGACAAGTGGCTACCCTGTAAAGGAATCTCTGTGAAAGTATTTATAGACTTCCTCACTTCGATCTATTCAGTTGTGTTCAAGGCCAGGTTGGGCAGAGCCTTAGGCAACATGGCAGGGGGGTTGGAACTAGATGATCTTAAGGTCCTTTCCAACCCAAACCATTCTATGCTTTCATGATTCTATGTCGGTATCCCATTAATAAATGATAATAATATAAATAACTGTGTCCCAACTGTCTTTTGTGAAGGATGCTGGGCTCTTGATCAGTAAATTCTGGGACAATCAGAGCTTGTAAGAAAAGAAGGCTTGTCAGTGGTCCTGACCCAAGCCTGTTGTGTATTCTTACAGATTCATCTAATGAGTCTACTTTAAAACTTTTTTTTTTTTTTAATCAAAATGAATAATGATAAAAGGTGTAGTTAAGAGTTTCCTCCACCACTGGAGGGTGAATGTGCTGTTTTTCTTTTTTTGTGGGTGGGAAGAGTAGTCGGGAGCTTTCAGAGAACTGTTTCTCAAACCTTAGTCACAACTCATGGTTAGTGGTGGGTGCTAACTTTCATTTCTATTCTGATACACTTTCTGGCATTAAGTTACATTTTGCTATGGCAAGAGCTCAAGTGGTAAGTTAAGCTATTGTATGAGAAAAGGAGAGGTTAACTACACTTATATTGGGGGCAGGTTTTGCTTTGGAAAACAGTCGCAGGCTTTGTGGTTTAATCTTTTGGAGTCCTGCTAGTTACCACCTTCTGACGTACGTTGTTGGGCTGAGAAGAATGGATGCTCAGTGGTGCATGAAAGTCCAGCGTGTCAGTTGTAGCTATACATAATACCACTGTCTCATGTGCAGTCAAGGCTGTTAATGCTTAACACAGTATTGTATTCTCTAAGGGAAAAGTTGAATACCGGTAACTTCATCCATTTTGAATGTTCATATGCATTCCTTTGAAAAATACTGAAATTAAGAACAAGGTAATACCTAGAGAGAAGGCTCAAACTAACAGTAACTGCAGACAAAAATGCTGCACAAGTTAGGCTCCAGGATTTCTGTGTGCCAGGGAACAAGCCTGGGAATCTGCCTACAGTTAGGGCTTCGTTCAAACTACATGCCTTGAGGAGCAATTGCTTTAACTTGCCTACACTTGGGATAACTGGTACCAGAAATGCAAAGAATCTGCCCTTTTGGAGATTGCGAACTTGCAAATAATCCTCCATACACAAGAGGGGAACAATATTTTAAGGCTTCAAAGACTCGTTTCCTTAAGTACGTGCATCTGTGGGTGGACATAGGTATTGTTCAGTTGCTTAACAACCTTCTATGGCTAATGGTCTGAAGTGAAACAAACCAGTAGTGTACAGAAGAAGTGTACTGAAATGTATCAAGATGCAAAAATTATTAACATAATTCAACTCCTAGGAAATACTGGCAACCAAAGCAGCCAATATGTACCAGCTCTCTTACAGTTGCTTTAAATTACAATATGCTCTCGTATCTTCTGAAAATGTCATGATTCACATGCTAGCAGTGTTTTTTTTCTTGCAAAATGAAGGCTATGGTTCTGAAAAACAATTTTAAATCTGCAATCCAAAGAAGTTCTCTTGTCTAAAGAAGTGACTTTTTTCCTAACTAAACCAATTAAGGTATTGAATATGTGTCACAAGACCTTTAACACAAGTTCTGTATCACGTTCAAACGAGCAAGCAAATTTTGGCCAGAAAAGCTTTTTGTAGTCCTAAGCAAAATACAAGTCCTTCTGTGTAACCAAGGAACTCTGTTGGGGCAAGAGGGGAAAGGAAGTGATGTTTCCTGTTTCCTCATTTAAAACCTTTAAAATTTTTAACTTAAATAAAATAAAATTAGGAGTTTGGTAAAATATGCTCATGAAAGATACACTTCAAAGCAACTGTATTAGTGCTGCTAGTCATATGTCTGCCTGCCTTTGAGAGTCTTTCATGGTTCTGTTTGATCTTTCATTCTTGCATGTAAAATGCCATCTTGTTAAGAACCAGAGTGGGAAAAGATATCCGTATTACTTTTCTTTAGCAGGGTTCAGCGACAGAAGTACAAATTGGGCCCATGAGACTGACACAAGATCCAATTCAGGTAAGATGCTCTTTTCATTTCATAATACAATCAATTCAGTGTTAATGGATGAAGAAATGAAGGTTCAACCCCTGTAGTTAAGCATAATGTTTTCATTTTACTTGTTCAAGGACTGTGAGATGGGTAATCAGTGTTTTGGTTTATCTGATTGCTTCAGAAGAGATGTATAAGTAAATTAACTTGGTAAACAAGGTGCTTAGTTTTCCATTAACATCAAATCATTCTTTTTATAAGTCCTGTCAATAGGAGCGTGTGTATATGTGCATTTGCAGGGGAAAGACCTGCCTCTCTGTATCTAAAATCTGTTCTGTTCTGATACACAAAAGCAGAGAAAGCTCCATTATAAAATTTAAGTACCCTTCGAGTTTTGCTGGTTTTTGCACAACAAAACGGAGAACTGCTTCTGCAGGTCACCAATCCAAGAAACCTCACCATCTCCAACAGTACAGGTTGAACTTCAGCTTAAGGAGCACAGCTGTCACCCTCACTTACTTCTGTACGTTTTGTTCCTGTGCCAGTAAACAGATGCCAAGCATTTGGTTTTTTTCCTTTTTAATTTAGCTTATAGTGGGTGTTAGAGCTCTCAGATGTCAGGAAATTAAATAATCTTAGTCTTTAACATTGCTCTAGTGACACAGCATTCATTTGAATTAACTTTTTGGGTCACAGAGACATTTAGTCACCAGTCACCTTTTCATTTTGTGGGTTCGCTTCTTTCTCACTGTATTTGGCTATGAGAGGAAAAACCTACAAGTGGAAGAAATGCTGTTCCCAAGGATAATAAATCATGTGTATATGCATCATAAAGCTTTACGTTTTTATTTCTGTATTAAGCATTCAGTCTCAATGATGACTTGCTCTGATGAAACTGTTTATATTATGACTGTGGAACAGTGGCTTCAGCAGTAGGCCAGTCTTTGGTTTTGCAAGGAATTTCAACATAAAAGTGTGGAACTCTTCACAGAAAAATATCCTTTAGACTGTGATCATCTTCAGAAAGAATGTCAAGCAGATGTTTAACAAACACAGACACACTCACTGCTTATGTCAGGATTTTACTTTGTAGAAACTGGATTTGCCAAAGTATCATGGTATCAGTCTTAGCTGCTATAAGGGAAGATTTTCCATATAAGAAAGGAAAACGTTTTTTTTGTTCTAACTGTTCGGCATTCTTCTTGGTATCATGTCAGGTGTGGATGTTACTTTGTTCCTAGAGTTCACAAGTGAGAATCTATGGTGCTGCCATAGAAGTCCCTAAGTAAAGCAGAAAGCAGACCTGAAGTAAAACAATTAGTTGATGAGTTTTCCTCAAAGACATTACCATATGCTAACTTATTTATCGTAAAGGAATAACACTTTATGTAAAGTCACTTCCTCTGTGGAACAAGTCACATTATCTCAGCTAATTTGGCAAGTATTGCACACTTCTATGCATTTGAAAAGTGTGTATTAATCTTTTATTCCATCTACACAATGGAATTACGTGTTTCTCTGTGCAATGCAAACAGCTACTGAATACCATATTTTAAATGTCTATTTGCAGGTGCTTAATCATGTTCACAATTGTCTGATAAGTCCATTTATTTTGTTACAACAATTGCCACCAGAGTTTTTCTTAGCGGCTATTTTTATTCTGGTGGGTGTTTTATGCTGTTACAAGACACCTGTGCCAACCTCAAAATGGCCCATATTTTTTGTCTTGAGAGGTGACCTTACTTGTGACTATGACCTGCCAAAAACCTTTTAATAGATTCCTCACTGGACTTCATGTCCGTCTGTGTTGAAGGACAAATCTGGTTTGGTTTGTACTAGATTGTGACCCAGGTGCTGCTTGCCTTAAGGGGCAAGGAGAAAAGTCCAAAGCAAACCTACCAGCTCTGACACTTCAAACATCCTCCTCACATGTTGCTTGCACGTTTACCCTGATTCTGTACCAAGACTTGCAAATAGGCAAAGTTGGGTTCTGAGACCTTAGAAATGACCATGGTAAAAGTACATATAAAGGCACTGTCTCCAGCAGACACAGAAGGGTGGGTTTTATAAGAGTTTAGTGCACATGAAAAACCCTGTCTTATTATTTACTAAGGCTTGGATGTGTCTGTTCTTTCCTTTCCCACCCTTCAAATACTGCATTTTCTCACTTCTTAAGACATTCATTTGCCACCATCTCTTTCACAGCATTGACATCAAACTCCATTTCTGTTCTGATGTTGGTCATCTTCCCTGCTGAGCTGCAAAGGAAGCATAATGATACACAGCATTTTACTGTCTCCCCATGCCTATTTTCAATGTAACAAGAGCTCTTCCCTAATTTAATTCAGAGCCACGATGTGTTTTCCACCTTAAAACTCTCTTGCTGAGATACAATAACATAAAAATAATTACGTAACTTCATTTTAGCTTCTTAAGTTGCTGTTTGTAATTTTCTCAGTTTTGTTGTGGTACCCTACTGGCTGTACTCAGCTGGTGTCTCTTGTTTTATTTTGAACTCTTTAAAGCAAATCTCTTCATTTTCTGTGTTCGTATGATAAACTGGGAGCAAGACATGCAATACTTGGGCAAAGCAAATACTTAGAAAGATGGTGAAAATTCCAGTAAATCACAAACAAATGTAAAGCTCTCCACAGGGGAAAGTCACAGAGCTCCTAAACAAGGGCAGCACTGAGTAGAATGATCTTTTTACAGTTTTACAGTTTACTGACAAATTACACACACACACACACACACACACAGAAAAGCCACCTGGGGGTTTTGCCAAGAAACACAGATTGAATTCAAGCTTTTCCTTGTAGTACTGTTTATATGTATTGTTATATTTTTATCTTGACTTTGAGAACATATCCGGCAATATACTTCTAGTTATAGTAAGCTCCATGCAAATGTTAATGAGAAAGCATGGCAGTAATACTTAAAAAAACCTTCAAAAGTTAATATTCTCAGGATTCACACACTCATAGTTAGCTACCAGTGGAAGATTAGGTGGTTTAATTAAACTCCATTATTTTACAGCTGGTGAATGATCACATTTTGCAATCCTTTTAACATTCCCAGTTTGCAAATAGAGAAGGAAGATATCAAAATATGGGCCCTAAAAAAATCAGTTTTCTGAGCCATATTGTACCGATCAAAATAGGAGCAAAATAAAACTAATACCAGTTGTAACCAAACAAGAGAAAGGACATTCTTGAGTATCTGCAGACAAAGTCTGCAGCTCAACCGTGTCACTCCTTCCCAGCATTTTGATGGCTGGAAAAAAAAACAGGGATTATGTAACGTGACAACAGTTGCCTTGGATGTTGAGTATCAGTAGCCCAAATCTGCTTACTTTAACTGTAATTAATTACTTCTTTTTTTTTTTTAATTACTTTAACTGTAATTAAAAATACTGCCTCTAATAAATTGAAACTTCTTATTTCTTAATACTTACGGAAATTCCAAGCACACAATTTTCTTTCCCTGCTCAATGAAACCTTGACTGATTATCCCACCAAAGCAACATTAATTGATTTGTTTATTGCTTAGAAGTTAGCAATCCAGACAGCTCAAGAAACAAGAAAAATTCTGGCCACTTTTTCTGGCTTCTAGACTGATGGTGTTGAACTTCATGTGGTGACACCACAGCTTCATAGAGAAGCACAGATGGAAGGTTATTGACATTTCCTATGGGCATTTGGGGCAAAATCTCACGTTTTGCTCAGACAGTTGTTTGTTTTTCAGGGAAGTCAGGGGATTACTTTTATTTGTGAAATGAACAGGATATTGTTTCATGCATAGATTGTTCTCTGCCCATTGCCTTTCTGTGCAGTTTTGAGGCCTTCTTTTTCACAGCATATTTGTACTAAATTAACTTTTTTATTTCATCTGTCACACAGGGTGGCCTGTTTAGTGATCAGTTGCTATGGCAAATATAAGCAAATTGTGAAGGGGCTGTCTATGTAACTTGTGTTCCTAGCTGTATAATTCAAATGCTGATAATACATGTATTATACAGCAAGGATGAAAAATCTGTTGCCTCTTAAAAACACTCTTTCTTTCACACAAGTAGCACACAAATAAAGCTGTTTTCAACCTATATTCTGTTATTCCATATGTAGGTTAGCAAACAGACCTCCTACAGCATCAATTTGATTTTTTTAACAGCACCTTTGCACACATCCTAACTGATCTTGTGTGAGCAGTTCCTTAAGTATTCAGTTGAGTTTGTTGAAACTACCTCATATATTTACATAATTAGAGATTATTTATTGGGTAAAAATTGTTATGTTTGAAAGAAGGGACTTTTTGCCCTACTCCGCCCTGTCTATTCCTACTTGTCTGTTTTTCTTTTCAGGTTTGAAAGACCATGGGTTAACTTCATTTTGTTGTACATCAAAGAAGATATAATGAATAAAACTGTGTTATGTTAATTGTCCCTGAAGAGTGATAATTAAGGCTGTTACATTTCAGACATGTAATTACAATTAAAGGTGTGTGTAGCTGGGATGGCCTGATGAGAGTGACAGTGACGTTGGAACACGTACATACCTACTCTGGGCAGCTGCTGGTTGACTTTGAATGTCAGATAGAAGAGACTTATCATCTGGCAGCCAGTTTTGTTCTAAATATCTGTCCTATGCAATTAGCTATTGATTATCTATTGATAATCTATCTAAGAAAGTTGTGCTACTGCATCAGCTGTTTTACATTCTGTAGATCAGGCTTTCCACTTTCAAAGTAGACTCAATCTTTTGTGTAGCAGAAGTTTGTTAAGATTTGCACCAAGCAGAAAACTATTTTGTATGCATAATGTGATGCTGCTGTTTTGCATGCTCTGCAGGTTTTGCTGATCTTTGCAAAAGAAGACAGCCAGAGTGATGGTTTCTGGTGGGCTTGTGACAGAGCTGGATACAGGTGCAATATTGCACGTACTCCAGAGTCAGCACTTGAATGTTTTCTTGATAAGCACCAGGAAATAATTGTTATAGATCACAGGAACTCCAGATATTTTGATGCAGAAGATATCTGCAGGTAACCTAAAAGGTCTTACGCTCTTTTGCTTCTCTTGAATTTCAGAACATGCTGAACATTAAAAAAAAAAATATATAAAAAATAAGAAGCCCAAAACCTACAGTAAAAAGGCATTTTGGGGATTGAGGCCAGGTTTGCATGCACTTGTAAGAGCAGAACAATACAAAAAATACACTTTGGCAAAGCTGAATTGTAGAACTGTCTCTTTAGGTCATGGACGTCTATCAGAGCATAAGTGAGAACTGCTGTGAAATTATTCCCTGCTGTCTGTGCCTGCTTCTTTCTTGGGTTACTGCTGCCACAAAATCTGAAGTTGTAGGGCTTCAAAGGAATGTGCATGTTTGTTCACTGTGTCAGGCACTGCCAGCTCTTCACAACAGTTCCCATCACTCTTCTGGTTCACATGACTGTGTTAGTAGCTCTAAGGTTGCAAGCACTTAGAATTCTAAGTGATTCTTTGCTAAAATACACTGTGTCAGCTGAAGCATACCTTTTGTGCCATACATGATTCTGTGCTACTCAGTCCACCCCAAGCTGAAATGTCCCATGTGTATGTCAGGGAGCTTTTTAAAGCTCAAATACTTGTGCTGATGGAAGTTCTTCTAAAAGAACAAGACTGTTTATTCAGGACAGTGTGACATGATTGAAAAAGGTTGTCTTTAGCCAGTGAAAGGTGAGTGGGGTGTTCTTCTTTTTTCAGTTTCTCAGTAACATGTAAAGTGGTAAAATTTTGTTTATTTGGCATTTCATAAATGATAGCTTATCATCTATATCCTTTTTCCTTACTTGCATGCCCCAAAAGCACTTTCCACCCTTTAAAGAAAATTTTACAGTATCTAGGAGGACTGGTAAATATGGAAGAAAGTGGTGGAGCTAATAGGTATTGAAAAGGCATTGTTTAGACTGAGCTTTCTCAACCCATGCATTCAGGGCACTCAGCCCCAAATAAGCTGAGTAAACAGGGCAAACATTTGCTAGGTTATAAGAGTGGATTTGAAGAGCTGCTGTTCATGCCCTATATTTTTGGAGCTCTTGCCTCTTCACTGCACTAAGAAAAATCTGAGGAATCTGGTAGCAAAATGGAAATTAATTGGCTAAGTTGGGATAAGTAGATTTTTGCATATTTGGTGTATATATTTGGTGTATATATTGGTATATTTGGTGTATATATTGGTATATTTGGTGTATATATTGGTATATTTGGTGTATATATTTGGTGTAATATCCTGTTGTCTAGCCTCAATGGTGTCTTTTAGTCCTGGTTTTCATTTGTATTTTCTGTGAAGATACTCAAAGTAACGTCGGGAAAGAATGTGAGGTAACTGAGAAATTTGTTTCTTTAGATCTATTCGTGCCACAAAACCATCAGAGCATACTGTGATACTTGCTGTGGTTCCACGCACGTAAGCATTACTGTTCTGTAAAAGCTTTTTTTATATAAGAATGTTATATAGAATAGTTAACTAATTTGCAGACTACACCAGTTTTGCTGGGAGTGTTGATCAGCTGAAGGATAGGAAGGCTTCGCAGAGCCTTCTGGACAGGTTTCTTTGATGGGCTGTGGTCAGCGCTATGAGGTTCAACAAGACAAAGTGCTGGGTCCTGCACTTGGCCCACAACAACCCCATGCAACACTGCAGGCTTGGGGAAGAGTGTCTGGAAAGCTGCTCATGGAAAAGGACCTGGGGGTGCTGATTGAAGGAGCTGAACATGATCCAGTTTGTGCCCAGGTAGCCAAGAAGGCCAACGGCATCCTGGCCTGTATCAGCAGTAGTGTGACCAGCAGGGCCAGGGCAGTGATCATCCCCCTGTACTGGGCAGTAGTGAGGCTGCACCTCAAATCCTATATTCAGTTCTGGGCCCCTCACAACAAGGGAGACATTGAGGTGCTGGAGCAGGCCAGAGAAGGGCAACAAAGCTGGTGAAGGGCCTGGAGCACAAGTGTGATGAGGAACAGCTGAGGGAACTGAGGGGGTAGATTAATCTGGAGAAAAGGAGGCCCTGAGAGGACCTTAATTGGTCTCTACAGCTACCTGAAAGGAAGTTGTAGCAAAGTGGGTGTTGGTCTCTTTTCCCCAGGACAAGAGGAAGTGGCCTCAAGTTGTGCCAGGAGAAGTTTAAATTAGATCCTAGATAAAATTTCTTCACTGAGAAGGTTATCAAGCATTGGAACAGGCTGCCCAGGGAAGTGGTGGAGTCATCTTCCCTGGAGGTATTTAAAAGACATGTAGATGTGGTGCTGAGGGACATGGTTTAGTGGTGGAATTGGCAGTGCTAGGTTAACAGTTAGACTCGATGATCTTAAGGACCTTTCCCAACCTAAATAATCCCGTGAGTCTATGATTTTGTTTTGCAGATCTGCTGACGAAGAAGAAACTTCTGTTCTTCCACTTCTTAATGCAGGCTTTGATAGGGTATGTATAAATTACATATTTGATATAGTAATCATGATTGCTTCATAAGTTACAGACACTTCTAATTCCTCAAATTGAAAACTATACATTTGCTTCTGTCGAAAACTTAGTTATGAGAAACCAGTGGCAATTGATTGGGTATTCTTTTCTTTTCAACAGTGTATCCAAGAAGCATATGAAATAGAAGAATCTGTGATCTAGCTAATCCTTCCAGAATAAGAAGGAATACTGAGGTTAACTTCTTGTGGTCTGTGTGGGTGGCTTTTGTTCATGACTGCGTTAAAAAGATGATGGGTGACCTTGATCACTGTGCTGCACATCCCAGCATGTTGACTAGTCACCCAGACACTTCTGTGCACTATGGATTACTGGGATTTCTCTTCTAAAGAGACTACAAACCCATTCCAGCTCCCTCTGATGTGAAGAAGACATTTTCTTTTTCTGTCATGAGGTCTGTTGTGCTAACTTGCACCCGTTTTTCTCAGAACTGTGTTAGAAGCTGTCCTATACAGGCAGCTCAGGGGAACATACTGTTCATACTGTTTCCCAAACAGATTTGGAGAAGAGAGTGCAAAAGGCAGGAGTTCTCAGCTCTGAAAATCTGTGTTCAGTTTCTTACCTTTTCCCAGTGTTGGTATGCATGGCTTTAGATGGATATTAGTGTTATGTTAATGTAATATAAATCAGCTCTGATGTTAAAGTTAGCCATTTGGAAGAAAGGTTATGTACTGAAGCAATAGAAGCACACCAGTGGACACTTTAGTTAGGGAGAATTAACTATATGTAGTTAGGACAATCAACTGCAGTAAGGAAAATCAGAGAAGGAAGGGAATTAAGTCAGGCAGAACCTCATGCTAATATGCTCATATTGAGTCCAGTGCTGAGCTAACTCATATTTAGCTTGAGTTTCTTTACAAAACAAGAACATGCACATTTGCAGATCCCAACAAGAGGTAATAAACCTTTCCTTGCCTGCAAGGGTACCGTGGGTGCAAAAGCATTTCTCAAATGCTTAGATGCCCTGAAAATCGGAAAAGTTGAGGCTAAAATGTCAGCCCCAGAATGCCAGTGCTTTCTTAGTGTAGTCTTCTCCCTCTCAAAAAAAAAAAAAAAAAAAACAACCAAAACCCCCACAACAAAACAACCAAACAAAAACTAAAAGGTTTTAATACTTTTTGAAGAAATCTTTATTCCTTCTCAAGTCTGGCATTTCATTTAAAAGAGTGCAGGGCAATGGGTTTTGTGGACTAGATTGTTAACTCTAGCTAACAGGTGTAGTACTGAATAGAACCAGAGGAGACGCTGTGAGGCTCTGGGACACATCTCAGTGGCACAATGTCTGCCTAGGAAAGTAAAATCTTTTTGCACGTGACAGTTGCTCTGACTATTCCTTCTAGCTGTCCCAGATTTATCAGGGAGCTTGCATAATATAGTATTTTCCTAATGGAATTATTTTTAATCCTTTAAAACACATCTGATGTCAAATATCCTATTTTCACACTGGGGTGGACACAGGGATTAGTTCTACTTGGATGGGGATCAGTAGGGACCAAAACCATTAACATACCCACACACACCCCCTGCACACAAAGATTTTTAAATGCCCTTCTTCAAATAGACAATATTTTCAGACAATCTCTTCATCAGCAATAATATGCAATTTAGTTTTGGAATATCCTATCTATTCAAATTAGAAGTTTCTCTTCACTATTTTTATTTTAAGAGTCCAACCTTTCTTGTAGCTTAATTTTTGCATCATCACGATTCATCGTGTTGGCATTTTTCCTGGTTTTGCTCATCATCTTGATTCTCATCCCTTGAAAAAGCACTGAATGCAATTGCTGTGGTGGTGGCTTCTTCAAATGCATCTCCAACCTGATTAGGAAAGAGTCTGTGCATCTACTCAATTAATCTGCCACCTTTTGTAGAGTTTTGTACACAAAACCAGACTTTTTGCATCAGGTTTTGATTGAAATATTTCAAAGAACTCCTTTAATCTTTTTTTGTAGATATTCTTGCAAATAACCATGAATGTTTGTCATGCAGTGAATATTTTATTTGAATCTGCTTTAAAATGTTCTGTTTCCTTCATTTGTACTTATGTTAGAGTATTATCTTTCTATGTTTATGCTAATGTATACATTTTAAGTAGTCTTAAAGAAATAATTTTTAATTTCTTCTAATGAAATCAGTGATGATTGATCACTATCCAAACCTGGATCACTACAATCACTAAAATCTTATAACACAAAGGGATTTCAGGAGTCTTTTCTGTTAGCTTTACACATTCCTTTGGAAGTTTTCTTTATACTGAATTATTTCTGTTTTTTTCCATCTCCTTCTCAAGGAAGTGCATTTTATTACATCTTCTGATTTTTCTCTGTATATCATCAGCACCTTCTGTGTTTGCCTTAATGGTGTTGTTAATGCAGCACATTTATTACACTGATATTTTTTTTTTCTTATAGTAATGACCTACCTAAGATGAACTAATTTAAATAAGTGATTTGGCATCCTGAGTTATTTTTAACTGTGATTTAAATTAGCGAACAGAGGGCCTTAGTGATTGCTGTTACTCAATTACAATCTTGTCTTGTATTTTGAACTTTACTTCTTTCCCTAAACACAGGTTGGTTCTCATTGACCAGTTACTATCAAAACTTTCTGGTTTGCAACAAAATAAATCTTTAATATTAAACTTAGTACTTACTGCTAAGCATGAAGAATGATGCATTTCTACTACCTGATGGCTCTTGAGGCTTGTGTCATGTTCTGTATATATTAGTTAAATCAAAATGTAATGCATAAATACTAAACTTTCAAAGAAGGTATTGTTGTCTGCCTTCTGATATTTGAGAGTGAATAGATTTTCATCTTCCTATGCCTCATTTAGATGCACAGATTAGGGAAAGGAAATGCTTTGTACTTTTTTTCAGGTCCCAATTGATTTCTCAGATTTAAGAGAGCCAGTGAATGAGTGGCGTTAGTACTATAAACTTAAATAAAGAGATTCTGCATATCTAAAGAAGACTATGCAACAGTTAAGAGTAGGCTTAGCACTTCACCAAGCTGCAGTTCCTGGCTGTTAGCCAAAGATTTGTACCAAGATAGTGGTTGATTTTTCTCAGTAAACAACACTACTTTAAAATTCATTTTATAAAGAGCTTTAGTATGTTCTAGTAAGTTTAGTTTGTGAAATAGGTTGCCATCATTGTTAACTTGTATATTATTGATATATTTGGGGTTATATTGGTTTAAATTTAGCATAAGCATACTTGAATATTTAAAAGAGCAGCCTAAAACTGAAAATCTAAATCTACCATGCTGTAGAACACACATTCGTTTGCAGGCAGTTTGTTATGCAAAAACACAACATCCCTAGGCCTTTGCTTCTGTCAGTTTCATATTGTGCCTTTTGGTTTCCCATACATTCACTCAGTGTGTCAAGTGAGAGTTACAGATGTATTTTAAGATCTTAACATTAAGGAGAGGAGCAGACCCATGTCAGGAGATACTTTTAATTTTACTTTTTTACATTTTGCTGACAACTTGGGATTAAGCCATTAGTCCCCAAAACATTTTTTTATACAGGAGAGAAGAATAGATTTTTTAAGGCTGTTGTTTATTCCTTGGAGGTTTGCTTGCTGCCTTTAGACTCTGCATGCAGCTGTGCTGTGAGAACTAGTGACAGCACGGGGTATTTCCTGTGAAAACTAGACTTGGTGAATGTATTTCTGAAGGAGTGATTTAGCTTTTCATAGCAGAAGCTTACTGATGAGCAGTAAACTTTAACTGAAGTCAAAAAATCTACTGCTTTCCTATCAACGTTAAGTTTCTGATTTCAGCAGGACCAAACACAAGACCTTCCAGCTTACTGCCCTTGCCTAACAAAGAGAGGCTGTTCGCTCCAGTCTGGAGTACATAAAAGTCTGTTAACTGTTGTCAGCTTGCTTCTTACTTTATGTACTTTTCTGCACTTCTGAATTCACAGTGACAGCTCAGTGAGATTACTTGTGGAGCAAAGTTACTTTGACCTTCTGAGCTTCAGCTGCAGTGTTTGCTTGAAATGCCAAATATCCTTTTTTTTTATATATTTCTTTTTAGCACAAATGTTTTATGTCTCTATTCTGTTTCCATCCAGAACTAAGGATATATGTTCAAAATGAAATATCAATGCAATACTAGTTTGTGTGAGACTGTGTCTGTGTTGTTGTGGTTTTTTTTTTAGGCTATCTGTTTCTAACTGGGTTGCTAAAACCAAATAAGAAAACTCACAGTTGAGGTTTTAGCATATTTTTGTACTTGCTTGTATTTAGATAGCCATGCCATCATAAGAACTATAAAATCATTCTTGAGAAAAAGGTGATAAAAGAACACAAAAGGTGCAACTAAAGCTTTTTATTTCTACAGAATCACAGGATGGTTGAGGTTGGAAGGGACCCCTTGGCGTCATCTTGCCTTACCTCTCTGCTAAGCAGGTTTCCCAGGACCATGCTCGCACAGCTTTTGAAGATCTCCAAGAATGGAGGCTGAGCAACCTGTGCCAGTTCTTAGCAGCCCTTACAGTAAAAAAAAAAAAACTTCCTGATGTTCAGAGGGGACCTCCTGTGTTTCTGTTTGTGCCATTACCTTCTGTTTCTGTTACGGGGCACTCACAGTCTCGTCAGATATTTTAATGCCTTGAGCCTTCCCTTCTCTGGCAGAGCAGTCCTGGCTTTTCCAGCCTTTCCTCACAGGAGAGATGCTTAGCCACCATCACAGCCTTTTGCTGGACTTGTGCCAGCTCTCTTTATAAGGTTAGAGTTTCAGATTCAGGAACAGAAATAACAGTTTTAAACCATTCCAGTCTATTTCATGCACTCTTGATTTGTCTTCCAGCAATTCAAGGAGAATAGCAGCATAACTGCTTGTTACAATGAACTGGTTCAAATAGAACATGGGGAAGTGCGATCTCAGTTCAAATTACGGTATGTAGAAGTGTAAGAAACTGCAAACATCAACTTCTTGGTCTACGTAATTTATTAGGTTACTTTCTGCTTCTTCCCAGCTGCCCATATATGTGCTTTTCATCTGTATCTTAACTAATATACTATACCATACCCTTATTTCCTTATTCTGTTATTTTGTAAAGGACCAATATAAGTGTCTTAGTAACTGGTACCCTGAGAAACCTTGGTCTGTGTGTGTTTCATTCACTGGTGATGTAAATGACAGCCTTCCTCAACGCAGAATGCAGTATATGTCTTCTGATGCTTCCTTGTGAATGCTCCATCCCTGGCAGTGTTCAAGGCCAGGCTGGACAGAGCCTTGGGTGGCATGGTTTAGTGGGAGGTGTCCCTGCCTATGGCAGGGGGGTTGGAACTAGATGATCTTAAGGCCCTTTCCAACCCTAACCATTCTATGATTCTATATATCTTGAGGTGCCCATATTGAATTTGGCAACGTTCAGCAGCAATTCCTACCAACATGAGAGTCAGGGAAAGATCCTTTAGCAGAAATATTGCAGAACAGTAACTTCAGCTTGTTTAATTGCAAGGATAGCATTTTGAAAATGCTATCTAAGGTAAGGTTTATGAGCTGCAAACTTACAGTAAAATTTCAAAAAGTCATTCTTGATCTCATGTGTATGAGATTTCATATATGATGGCTTGAGCTAAATGCAATCTTAATCCAGCTGTTCATACCCTGAGCTTTCTCTTGCTTGGACAAGACTTGGCAAAGTAGGAGTGCAGTTTTTGTATCTTAGTGACCTTTTCTTTAATATGAAGATTTTAATTTTATGTTTAATACAGGTGCTTATACATGCATGTAGATATGTTTGCAATACAACTATATGGAAAAAAAACCCAACCTTGAAGCTGAGTTGCATAATGCAGAGGTGTAGTTGCCTTGGTGGCATAACTTAATTCCATTTCTATACACAGAAAATAATACCACTTCTCTAAAGGTTTCAGTGTTTCTGTTTAAGAAATAGATTTTTCTTAGGTTTTATTTGCAAACCAATCCCAAAGAGGCTTCATGTTCAAGTGGCTACATATTTGTACATGCAAAGTGAAATTACAGGGCAATCTTCAGGGGAAAAAAAAAAAAACAGAATTTGGGCTTCCATGATATTTAATAGGTGCTTTCCAAAACTCAACAGGAAAATAAAGCACCTGTGAAATTTTAGAACATAATTAGATGTTATGGTGGTCCTGACTTAGTTTGTTGTTCAGTTGTAAATGCAATATGAAATGAGTGACTTCTGAATTAAACTAGCATAGATCAGAAACACTAGTTTTATACAGAAAGATTAAGCTGTCATTCATACACACAATGCTTGTAGTTTGTTTCATTTCAAAAACAAGATGCAAACACAGTTTGAGCATCATCCCAAGTACCAATTATGAATGCAGATAATTAAACCTCCAATACAGGGAGCATGATTCATATTGTCCAACATATTTTGCTGCAAGTTTGTATACAGTCATCACCAAAAACATCTTAAAGTTCATTAAAACTGGAAGGAAACAAAGTCAGTCTCCAGAAGCGTTTAATCTACTGACAGTTCTTTCATCCATATTGTTTATGGAAACAGCATTAAACAACTCACTTGTAATTCTGCTTGCTTTTGGACTCTTGAATGTAGTTACATAAACTGTGAGCGTACTTCTTTTTGATTTACATAAATAATAACATTATAGAAAGTGTATTCAGTGTTATAATATCTTTTGTATATTGAGAATACACATTCTATATACTAATGTGTGTATATATATTGACATCACCTCTGAACATGACTGTTTTGGAAACCTTTGGCAGTATTGCGAAATACTATGAAAGAAAATCCCAACCAGTGGTGTTTTGGGGGTTTGTTACTGCTGCTGCCAGATGCAGTCCCAGGCCAGTCAAGTAATTTAAAGAGTTTAATAGATGCAGGCCCAGGATAGTTAAATAGTTAAATACTCCTCATCATGTAACAAGCACAAGTAATGCTTATAAGCAACATTTGTTGTAATATCTGGGGGTATGAAGTAGACTCTTAGAAGATAAATCTTTTTGAAAAGGCATATTTATACCTTAGAGAAGTCAGTGTCTTGCAACAGAGGATCTCCCCCTACCTCTGCCTAATTAGGCAAGTGCTCTAAATGAATTTGCCACTGAAAGCAAAGCAGAACTAGTGTTTGGCACTGCTATGTGGCTATAATTTGCTTTCATCTGTGTGGTTTATTCAAGTGGGGGAAAAAGTGTTGCACTGTGTGTCTATTCCACTCGGTCCGTGATCCTATTTCCTGTTTCAGTAGGTCTTCTATGCAGATTTGTGAAAGTGAAAGGTGAGAGAGTATTTTCAGAAAGTTAGTCAATGAAATTAAAACCAGGATATTTCAGGTGTTTGGATACAAGAAAAATGTGGTGAGAAAGCTGGATCAGCCCAACAAAGCAGTGTATAAGGTCATGTCAGTGGTCAGAAGTGTCTTCCGTTCCAAGCGGGTGCTCCGCTTCTTCAGAGAGCTGTTCCTGGTTTGAAGCTTGGTTGGACATCTGTGGGAGGTGTGTATTAATCAAAGAGGATACGGGACATTTAAACCTGTAATTTCACTGGCTTGGTTGCCACATCAAGTAAAAATACTAAGGTTTCAATAGTGCAAATATAGATGTGTGTTTTCTTGCAGAAAGTGCATGTAATGACATTTGTTAGCAGCTGGTGTACCAGGCATGCACCTATCACCAAGATGAATTAGTTATTTCACACAGCACAAAATTACGTGTTAGAGCCAGTTTGGGCTTCTAGAAAATCACTTGTAAATTAACACTGAGAGCTCCTTTTTTTTGTATGAGCTGAAATACTGCTGCCTTCTGAATGCAACACTTTTTCCTACAAATCTTCATCTACGTGGCTGCCTATCTGTGTCTCTGTGTTATTATGTCTTGGTGTATCTGATTTGATTTTGAGTTACTTCCATGATGAGCAGGCCTAGCAGTATCCTGTATTTCTTAATTCTCCAGTCATCAGTATTAGTTCAAGCCCTGCTATGAAGTCTGGGAGCAAGGTGTTCCTTTTAGGTAATAACTATACAAGAATGTTTATGTATGGTGCATTTAAGCTCCCTGCAATGAGAGGTACACAGTAGATGATTAGTTTGTGTTTAGTCCAAATCAAAGATAGAGTACTGATATCTATCAAAGTAAGTATGCCTAGGTTGTTTCTTTTAGTATGCATTCGCTCTTTCTTTCTCTCTCCCTTTCTACTTTCTCTCTTTCTTGTCCCTCTCTGCTCCCGCCCACCATAGTATTAGGAGCCTACATTAATGCTAATCCCATTCTGTGTAAATAATCATTTAAACAATATATGTTGTGTAGCAAGAAGGTAAGGCTTTTGTTTTCCTGCATTAGTTTAAAGATAGCCCTGCAAATAAAGGAAAACAAAGATCATTTTGGCCCTTCATAAAAATCAGGATCTATGGAAAACAAGTCACTGAATTATTACTTGGAAGCAGGAAAATTGGTATTTTTCTGACGAGGACTTTGAGATGGTTTATACTGTTTTCTTTAATGATATTGTATCATGATATCATGACATCTTTGATAGCACCAATCTATTTGCTGTATTGAAACCTTTGTATATATCTGTTGTGGTGATTTTTGTTTTCCCTATATTTAACGATCACAAAACTTTCTATTCTACTCTAACAGCCATTTATTTTTGCTGCTAATTGTTAATTCCTGCAGTCTAGAGCATGTTTGGAGAAAAAAGCATACTATTAACATGTTAAGACCCATGAATAATTTTACAGTGTGATTTGCAGGAAAAACATGTTAACAACACAGATGTCTGAAGCTGAATTTCCTGAAAAAAATCATAATGGAGATAGTGATATGGTTTAGTCAAACCAACATGCTACTTTGTGATCCATCTGCTGATAAGTACAATATAATAATGTATTTATATTAAGCAAAATGGTCTAACAATAAAACTAACATGAATCATTTGCTAATTTCAGGGCTTGTAATGCAGTGTTTACGGCATTAGACCACTGTCAGGAAGCTATTGAAATAACCAGTGAAGATCATGTCATTCAGGTAAGGGGAAAACATTAGCTATTTGGTAGTATTCTAGTTTTGCTGCCCATTAGAAAGCCATGTACAATGAACTATCTTATTTCTGCATGCTGCACATTGGTGCCTGCTGAACTTTTAAGACCTTTTTCTTCAGTAACTTTACTTAGATTTTAATTTTCAGTAAAGTTACATGTAGTAAAACCAGCATGAAATCTGCAGCAGAACTAGATAACCTGTACAGTAGAGTTTTGTTCTCTTTCTCTGCCTTCTGGTAACGGTTTACATGCTGCCTTCTGTGTTCAGCTCATTGCTTGAATAAAATGTTTCACCATTATACAGTATTTTTATATGAAAAACGCTGAATTCTATGGACATGTGGTTATGGCTCTAAATGCATAACTTGTAACAATTTAGTAGCTACATGTGAGTATTTAACCTTTAAATATGTTCTTTTTCATATTATCTTAAAGTACTTTTGTTTTGGCAGTATGTTAATCCAGCTTTTGAACGGATGATGGGGTATCACAAGGGAGAGCTTATTGGCAAGGAACTTACTGAATTACCAAAAAGTGATAAAAACTGTGCAGATCTCTTAGACAATATCAACACATTTATTAAAAAAGGAAAGGTAAGCAAATAAAACAAATTCATGCAAAATTGCTTTAAATTTCTATTCTGCGTCATTTTTAGTAGTATAGGTTTAAGAACACCAGATGTGGTTTTCATTGGTGTACGTACTAGACCAGAATTCTGCTTCTCAGGTATCTTAGAAGCACAACAGCCCACACCTCAGACAAGTGACTACTAGATTTCTTTAGCTTTGTTTTTAGGATCCGATTGAAATCCTTTACTTACCTGTTTGCTTAGGAGCAGTGTAAGAACATTTTCTGTGTTTCTGTTTTGCCTAGACCCCAATGAGATTTTGTTAGTCAGAACATAGTAATTTGTCCTTCGGTCAGTCTCTCAGATGGCTGCATCATCCAGCCAAAAGGTTTAACTGTTCTGTCACACTGCAGAGCCGTCACCACCTGCATGTTGTAAGCACCACAACATATTAGTACCCAGTGGGGTTTGGTTTTCTAACTGTAGTCAAATTATATGCAGTGCGCTGTGAAATCCTGTCATGGTGGCGACGGCCCACAGAAGCACTAAATTTTCTCTGGGGATACACCCTCCTAACACATGCAGCAGTCTCTTATCGCATCTCCCAGAGGTTGCAGAAATATGTCTCACCCTTCCTTGTCTTACTCTCTGCTTCATGAACTTTGGGGAGCTCTTGAACCTTTGAGTCACTTACAGCAATGATCAGAGCTTTGGGGGTCATTGCTGGAGCTGTTTGCAGGTTTGCCTTGGTTCATTAGCAGCACCTGCAGGCCACTCTTGCTTTGCTCTTACTCATTTACATAGGCTGCCCAGATGCTAGCACTGCCTGCTCAAAGGCACTCTGTGTCTTCTGCATCCATCGGTCTTTGTGACGGAGAAAGTATCTTCCCCCTATTTTCCAGCTTCATTCTACTCTATGGCTAAGTAGTTCCCTCCTTAAAATCTTTTTTTCTTTGAGTTGTTAAGGAGAACAATACCCTCTGCTTTATCTTCCTTTCTTCTCCCATCCATATTAGAGGATATCTTTTATCTCTGCGTCAGTGGAGTGTTTGAGGATGGGGCATATATGGCTCTTGTTTAGCCTGCAGTCCTACCGATGCTTTCCTGTAGCAGTGGGAATGGAGGGAAAAAGGGTGGCCAGTCAGAGAAACGGGCATTTGCATGCGACACCAGGATAAAAGATGCCATGAAGAAACTGTTTATTCCCTTTGCTGATCTAGAGTGCTTCAGATACTCATGGTCATGGGAAATGAGTCATGGAGTGAGAATAGGCTGTTGGTTACCTGAGATTAGTTGAAGGACATCCTTAGGTCAAGGGTTTCTCTGATTTTGCATACATATTGCTTGATGATTGGCAACTTCAAAGCTGAATGGTATTCAGTGCAGAGTTTGGTTCATCTGCTTCCAGGGGAGACATCTTCTGGACGTGTTGCAGTCGGCATTGTTCGTAACCTTCAAAACAGTTGATTGCTAAAGTTCTTTGTAAAAATTGTATACCCTCTCACAAGAGAAACATACTTACGTTGTCCATATGTTAGGAAATGCCTATTAAAGGTGCTACTCTGTATTAATAGATTTTACACTTTTTAAAAAATACAACCAGAAATAATACATTGTTATTTACTATGTAAGGATTATGTAAGAATAAATGAACATTTGACTGCCAGCTATGTATTCTTGATGTCTCTGTTGTGTGTGTTTGCTTAGGAATGGCAAGGAGTTTACTATGCAAGAAGAAAAACAGGAGACAGTATCCAACAGCATGTGAAGATAACACCTGTGACTGGTCAAGGAGGGTAACTTACTTGTCCAGAACATAATTGCTTTCTGCTTTTTAGGGCCTTCTCTCTGCTTTCCCCATCTGTAAGTTTAACATTAACCTCCATGTATTTAGTAGCAGGATGATGGTGTAACTGCTGACTCCAAGCAGTCTGGAAAGAATAAGCAAAGTTGAGAAGGTCATGTCCATTTTAGTATCATTTGCTGATGAAAAGAACTGCAAAGTTGTAACAATTAGTAGTGTTACTGCTATAGATACCTGCAAGTTGACATTTATGTTCATGTTATCAGGCATTTCTTTATGCAGTTACTCTACAGAATGGATCAGCATCTGGGTAATGTTTGTGTGCGTGTCTGGATGTGCTCGCACTGTTGCCATGTGGTATGGGCACATTGCCAGGTTCTGCTCCCAGATGTGCAGGTGAATGCCTGCAGGAGCAGAAGGATCAGGTGCAAAAACATAGCTGTAACACTGAAGAAGTGTTTGCCACCTAGTTGTCTGTTTGGTGTTGGATTTGGTACCTTGTTTCGTGAGGGTTTGGAGAGCTCTTCTTAAGAAAACAGCAGTATATCGCTTCACTTCTCTCTTTACCATTTGATATGGTAATGAGTGGTTATTTCTGTTGCTAGGAAAATAAGACACTTTGTGTCCCTCAAAAGGCTGCATTGCACCAATGAAAACAGCAAACAGGTATTGTACTTCTTTCATGTCGTAATTTTCATAGCTTTGAGTAAATTGATATTCTTGGTTTAAAAATATTTTTCCAAGTGGATGTGATCTATATTGTCAATGAGATTCTCATCAATTGTTGGAGCAAGCAAAACACCTTCGTTTGCGTGGGCTATTCTCCTTGTGTAGGACTGATGAGTAGAGGACAAATGGCTTTAATTTTTTGGAGCGTGGATATGACAGTTAAGTCCATAATATTGTGAAGCAACATAGGCCACAGTCCAAAGGGAGTTCAGGGGCTTTTTTCTAGAGCTGCTCTTGCCAGTCTGATCTGGGGTGTTCAGCTCTAATAATGACCTGTGTTTAGCTGTCACAAAGTTTGACAGTGGGTAAAACATGTAGCTTTCATGCAGGACCTGAGATACTGGGTCGCCAGAACATGTTATGGAGGGGTGCAATCCACATCATAACCCAAGTAAAGCAGCAGTAGCAGTCAACACTGGTCTCTGCAGGCCAGACATATCCACCCGACCAGGTCCTGCAACAAAGCTGGTGGCATGGGGAGCTGTTTGCTGTCATCCACTCCTGGTTCCCTCTCTCTGGAAATATCCAAAGCAAATGATTGTATCACATGCTTTGCTTCAAAAAGATTCCAGTACATGGCCTGTAAAGTAAAGAAGTTTGGATTTCTGTGAGCAAAGGAGTGAAATCTATATTTAGCCTGTGATCTGTAGGGGTGAGATAGAAAGTGGGAAGCATAAGAAGTAGCTAGCAACAGTTTAGGCTGAAGATATGCTTGGGAAACATGATCTGTTTCCATGTTCTTTTGGGGATCATGGGAAATAAACCAAGGAAATCTTGTTTTGTTTAGAATTTTAGTGTTCTTTTATCTGTTTTGTGGGTAAAGACACTTGTTCATAAAAGGTATTTAGAAAACCACTACTATTTCTAGTTCATCCTTCTTCAGTGTAATACTAGTGAATATTAACACATCATGGGAAAACCTCTACTACTGGAAGAAGTCTGTAAGTGTTATTCTGTAAGATCTGGCTGATGAAACCATGCCCCTTGCACAAGTTTTTTGTGGCTACAGGGAGCCAAGGGAGAAATCTGTATATGTTCTGGAAGAACTTTGACAGTTGATCACTGAAAAACAAGGCTCAAAATACTATAAACTGACATCATCTTTGAACTAAAATAGGATTTTAGTATTAGCAGCAAAGTACCATTTACTATAGCAGGATGTTTCAAAGTGCTCAGGCAGAGTGCAAGAGCTGTGTAATAGAAGAAGTGCTAAAGTTACAGGTATTTCTTAGATACAAGCTGATTTTTTTTTTTTTTTCCCTAGAATGTACACACAGCTGAAAGGCTGGTACAGGGAAGTGTAGATATGGTACTCTTAGTGTAAGATAATGAATACAGAACAGTTGCAGACTTGCAGCCATGTGTAAAATGCAACAGTAGGAAAGCAGATAAAAGTCCTTTTCCTTCCTGTTTTTCTTTACCCTCTTTTTGGGACTGCCAAAGCCAGTAGTAAGTATAAGAAATAGGTTTTATCTGGGGACTTGTGTCCAAGGCCACATTCATGTTCTCTGTACTACTGGAACTGTTGGAAAGCACCATAAATTCACTTTTTTTTTTCTCACTGGTTCATGCGCACTTACTGGTAAAAAAGCATGGACATGGTGAGTTACAGATCTGGGGAGCTCTATACATTTGGTCACCACAGGGAATGTGGCTTTTTACAAAAATGCAGATAGACATCTACCACAAAGGTAAAAGACCACAGCCTAACAAGAAGGCATGGTCTGTAGAGGTTTAAGGTCCATTGCAGGAAAAAAACAAGGTGCAACCAACAGAACTAGGTAGTTAACTGTGTTTCAGTTCTGTGGTGGAAATATCTCCTGCCTGGAGGAGAGCACCAGTTGCTCTCTGATTGCATGACAAATTCACAGAATTTCTTGGAATTCTGGGGGGCTTGGGGGTAGTTTTGGGTTCATCTTGGGTTTGTTTTGCTTTTCTCTTTGCTTTTTTTTTCTTTTTTTTCATTTTAGTTGGGCAGTGATGGTGACATGAATATTTATTATATTCAAAAGGTTCTTTAGAATTATTTTGTAGCAATAATCACTAATGTGATGTTACCAATCTTGATCAACATTTGGACACTGAAGTCTCCTAAAGTCCATGCCAGAATGCTTGCAGCAATAGAACTTTTCCTGGCCAAAAAAAACCCTATGTTTCTTTTCAAGCCACAGATAATTCTTCACAGAGGAATAAAAAGAAATCAAACAAACTTTTAGTTACAGAGCAATAAAAACTGATGATTCAAATTTTGATGCAAATGGCTAATGTTTCACTGCATCAACATAATTATAAATGGCTTGATGTCAGCATTCAGACTCTGTGTGCAGATTTAGAAACACCCTTACATTATTCTGCATTGTTTCACCTTAAAAAGATGTAGAAGTGTTCTTTGTCAGTACCAACAGCCTCCATAAGGGGTATCACAGCATGACTAGAGATCACTGTGTAAAAAGCTTCATGGATCTCTGTGCCACATTTATCACATACAAAAATTAAGCATGTTAGATTTATGCATGAAAAAAAATATATCTGAGAGTCTATCAAGCATTCTTACAATGAAGATTTATGAATAGGGATTGATTTTCATGTGACTGTTCCCGTGTGCTGAAGCCTAATGATTAATGCTGCCTTTGTCAATTTGAACCATGGCAGGATAGAGTCCAGTGTTTGCACATTCATAGATTTACAGCAGAGGTGGTGTTTCTTCTCTTAAGAACATGATGGCCCAAGATTAGCTGTGTAACTAGCCTCATAACTTACCTTATGTGGCTTTTTCAGGTCATGCCTGCAGGAGGGATAATAGAAGTATTCAGAATTCAATTATGATAGGTTATACTTTCTCAGTAGAGAACTTAAAGGACAGTAAGTAATGTTTTCTGCCAGTTGTGCAGCAGAGATGTATGTGTAGTCTCTGAAGGAAGCTCTGGTTCAGGACCAGAACAAGTAGCTCAGATGCATTTTGTCATTGTACCATATCTGATGAGCTTACTTGATTTTACTCTGTTTGGATGAGATGACTTATCTGAGTGTTCCTGCATGATTACAAGACAGGTGCTTAAGCTTTTAAAATCAGTTTCCTGGGGGAAGAAATGTTCCTTAGGCTCCAGATTTATACGGACCATGGATGCAGGATTTCCCCTTCCATTTTTATTTTCCTTCTAATTCATTACAGAAAGCCACTATTGAATTTGGGGGTTTGGGTTGGTTGTTTTTTTGGGGTTTGGTGTTTTTTTTTAGGGGGGGGAGTGTTTGGTGGTTTGGGGGTTTTTTTGTTTTTTGGGGGGGTGGGTTGTTGTTTTTTTTTTTTTGCGGGGTGGGGGGAAGGAGGTTGATTGGTTGGTTGGTTTTCCCTTTCCATTCTCTTCTCATTCTTATTCACCCTCATCTCTCCTCCCATCAATAGCAAAAAAGAAAAAATGTGGAAGTTGCACAAGAATGATGGAAAAGAAAATTTGTGTAATTCCTTACCAGTTGCAACCATGATTTCTTGCTTCCATGCAATCTAGTGCCTTGCTATAGGCAGATGATGTATTTGGCCAGAGGAACCAGTCACCACAGATTAGATTGTGATGTGTCATGAATAGTGTGTAAGTGCAGTGTCAAGCACTGAGGTTTATTCATCTGAAGTAAAGGCTATGTATACATTTGCTAGTGATTACAGGGAAAAGAGAGAATGGTTTTAGCCCTTTTCAGTGTCTCTGTTGGCTTTACCTAAATATATCATGTGCTAACCTTAGAGGGAACTCTTGAGGAACTGGAAGCTCTGATCAGTTTACCTACTAACAGCAAAAAAATCTTTCTTGTACCTGTGTAACAAAGGAACAGGATGAAGTGATTAGCAGATATTAAACTGTCATATAATGGACAGACTGTGGTTTTTGTGTCTCACAGGATGGAAAAACATAGATCTGTGTTATTGTAGGCTAAGCAATAGTGAAAAACTTCAAGGTGATGGAAATACCCTATCCAGATACTAGGAAAGTTTGAACTATCTTTCAGTGGAGCTACCCAATATGTGTCAGAAGAGCAAAAAATAAAGATTTTTTTAACTATTCATTTCTGAGAATGTTTAAAAATCACTAGGAAATAAAGAAAGTCTTGATAAATGATACCTTCTTCTACCTTTCAGTTGCTGGAGAGTGATTTCTGTAACTGAGGTTTTAGAAGTCCAATTTATCAGTGACACATGAAAGGATGCATACAAAATTAAATAGTACTAAGAAAATCATTTTTAAATTATTTTACGGAGGGCAAAAGTAAACTTATGTATTTGTGTGTGTGTGTGTGTTTTATTTCTTGAATCTTTCAGGTTAATATGTAATTTACACTTAAAACACTATCTAAAAATGAATGTAAGTTCTGTTGCAGGCACAAGCATTAAACAGGAACTTAGTACATAAAAGCACAACGGTATCTGTGATCTTCTGCATTGCATATCTGCTTACTATCATATTATTTCTCTACATCTAATTACACCTAAAGAAGAGTCTTTTCCAAACAGTATTTCTTAAAATTGCTGAACAGAAAATGCTGGATAAGGAGTGTTAAATGTAGCCCTTTTAAAATATTTTTGTGTTCTTTTTCCTTACATATGTATTTCACTCTTCATGCATCTTCAGCTCTACAAGAGTCACCGTGATGAGAAGTATACAGGAGACAGTTCTCAGTCAGGTTAGAATTCTATCATTTACCTTTATACACCGCTGCACTTGACGTCATGGCCAGGTTCTTTCCTGGTATGACATGTTGTCTCTTCTCTCTGTCAAGTTAGTGGTCAGAGCAGATGGCAGCGATGGATGCCAGCTGCTCTGATGTTGCACCATGAATTGGATTTGTAACCATCATTAATAATTCAATATCCTGTGCAGAGCTCTTCCCATGCATTCAAAGTTAAGATGTATTGCTCTTCCTTGTACTGAAACACTGAGTCAGATCCCGAAGCTGGTGTATCTTGGCACTTCTTTATGTCTGAAATTAATGTGGAACTGTGCTGATTTGTGCCAGATCTGCCCTAGTGTTTTCAAGTTAGGACTTGTCAGCAGGTCACTGGTTTGGCTCCAGCACAGAGCTAAGATAGTTGTCTGTAGAGCCAGGGTAAGAATTAGTCATGTCCAGTCAGCTCTGAGTTGTCACAGCATGTCTGAACAACACTTGCACTGTCTCTTAGGCAGGTCTTATTACTTGCAGACAGTACATTCAAGCTCTCAGTAACTTCTGCAGATAGCTTTTGTCTAAAGGTATGGAGCATAAGGGGATAATCTCTTCTTCTGATGCTCTGTTATCTTTGGAATAACACTTTTCGCTGAAGAAGGTGGCAGTAAAGACCGATTTTAAGGTTGTGATTCTAGCAATCTTGAGCCACATGCTCACTGCTGTTTTATTCTGAGCGAACAGATTCTCATGCCCTCTTACCTTCTGGCTCCTTGAGGTCCTTCCTGCTATGAAACACTGGACAACATTGCTATGCAATGTCAGGCAGCTTCTGATTTTCACATGAGAGGAGGATATAACATACCAAGAAATGGGAAGTGACTGTTCAACATCCCCTACCTTTTCAAGTAGCATAAATGTTGGAGATCTTTGTGGTGCAAAATAATAAAGGGCAGGGGGAAGAAGAGACAATATATGCAATTTGCTGTTCTCATTTCCATGGCCATCAGAACTGATCCACGGTATGTCAAACTGCTTGTTCCTGTGTCCTTGTAATAAATGCAATTCTACTTTCTCACTGCTTCCTGCAAAGAGGAAGCTGAGAACACCCATGAATTAACATGAAGGACACTTGTAACTACTTAACACATTGTTACTAGTTTACTAATGTGTTTTACAGATAATGTGGGCATTTAGGTTTGCTTATCGTTGTGAGACTTAAACAAGACCGTGGACCCACATCCCATTGATGGCTACTGTGCAGTAAAGACAGGCAACCTTAGAGTCTTGTATGTGATGCAGGTTATCCTTCCCCGCTGTCTGTGGTTGTGCTCCAAAGGTAAATTCCCAGAGCCATGGGCATATACCAGTATGTGACGAGTGCAGAAAATACTCCATGTGTATTGTGCTGCTTGTGATGGCTTGGTTTGTAATAAATCTGATAGGGAGACATTGCGCTCATCAGGCAAAGGACATTTTTCTTATTTAGGCATTTAAATATTTTCAGCCATAACTATCGTGTGGCATGAAGCAGCCTCTATACCCCTGTGACTCTTCGGGTGGCAAAGTTTTGGACTTGTTAGTTGGTATTTAACACGAGGAGAGCTGTCTTGTCAGCTAGTGCCACTCCCAGTTGTGTTTGTGGAAATGTTTGCTCCCATTTAAGTGCTTTATGTTAAACTCCTCCAAATGTTAGTGCAGGAAAGGGATTTGAAATCAAATAAATAAATAAAATCATGTAACACACATTAGTTATGCCCTGCTCTTTGGTGTCAATGGAGAAAAAGGCTTGCAGTTTCTCCAGTCTGGACTGCAACAGAATAAGAAGACCCAAGCTGTCCTGTAAATCTGAAATACAGACAGAAACTGTGTATCAGTAATTCATAAGATGCATAATTTTTTAATTCTGGAGAACTGTATATTATCATTTTATTTTGGCAAAGACAGGCTGCATATAACGTGTCTTCTAACAGTGTTATGCTAATTTGTCCTTATGTAGAGAATATCAATTTTATGATATCTCTGATTCTTCACATGATGGTTATCTCTTTTTTGAAACCCTTCTGGGATCTCTGATCTTGAAGAAGCATTTCAGATACTCTGGGAACAGATACTACACCTATTCTTGCAGATATATAGATGCATGGTTGCTGTTTTTAAACGCAAGGCAGAGTGTAATATTTCGGAGGAATTTGTTTGGTTTTTTGTTGGGTTGTGGGGGTTTTTTTGAGGCTCTTTCCAGACATTTCATCCCACTTTTGGAGTTGTCTGGATGTGATAATTTCTCTTGCTTTAGCAAATGGCAGTTTCAAGAATGACAGCTTGGTGTGTAGTTAATTTTCACAGCAACTGAATTGATAGTTTATAATCATTCTCTGCATGTTGGATTTTTCTTACACACAGGGTACAAAAATTATTGCAGTTAAAAGCAAAAGCTGTCAGAGTCTGAACTGTGCTTGGGCTGAAAGAGTGTAGAGGCTTTCATGGGAGATGGGATTTATCTTAATTGGCTAAATTTCTAGGCAGGTAAACTCAGGGTTGTTCAATGGTCAGTGAAGAACAAAAGGGACTTGCAGGAGGGGTTCAACCCACCTGCCTGAAACATCTATTCTAAAGCAGGATATCTGACAACCACCTTAGACGAAGATAGCCTGAAAGATTGCTGCTTTTAGGCAGCTAAACTTAGGTCAAGCGAGTCCCCTGTTCCACAACATCTGGACTTCCTTGAGAAAACAGCTTTCCAGGCACTTCAGACAAGTTGCTGTAAAGTGATAGACAGTGAGTCCCTTGTTCTGATATGCAGAGATTCCAGTATTTCCCCCACTAATGGGGTATGGCTAAGGTCATTTAATGAGATGTTCAGAATTTTAGATGGAGGAGTCTCAGTAGAGGTCTTGATGAATTTTTAAAGCTTTTGTTTTGTGTTTACAGAATCCCGTTCCTTCAAATGCAAGAACAGAAGGAAAGACTCTATTGATGTTAAGTCCATAACATCGCAAAGTAGTGATGGTAAGAAAGTAAACTGTCCAGAATGAAATTACAAATAAAGAATAGACTTGCCATAGGCAGTACAAATGCAGAATGAAAGAGGAACCAGACAGATTCACATTTAATTAAAGAGATCACTCAATTTTTTTATAACTGTTATAAAATTTCTCTAGCATTATTTGCAAAACAGTTCCCCCACCTGAGTACCAGTGTCAATATACAATGCATGGCAGCATTCAGTGCCTTCAAATAGAGGAGGAGTAGCTGTGCTGTGGGATAGGGGCAGCCTGCTAAAAGAGTGCATGGTGAAGCATTGATTCAACTTCTCTCAGAAAGCTGCAGCTTGTGCTCCTGAACCAGTACTTTGGTTTCATTAGTGTGGGACATGAAGGGATCTATTGCTGCTGGTAACTTGAGACCAGTACTTCAGCTTCTGATCCCATTTGTAACTGCTTGCTGGGACAGTGGTGGCAGAGATTTCTTTCTGCCCCAGTATGTAGTGAGAAAGCACAGATTACAGGGAGCAGGAATGGGTTTTGTTAAAGCAGCTATATCATTGAGATGATGGACATACTCTCACAGAAGGAGCCATCACTGACAGAGACTCATTGCAAAGGGCAAGTGGCAGGTACTGAGCATTAAGTATAATATAGCTTAAGTGTAGCTTCATTTCACTACAGCTGAAGTGAAGGATGGATGGAAAAACTGACAGCAGAAGTGAGAGGTAGCTGCAAAGGAGGTAGACAACAGTGCGGAAAATGAAACAGTAAAGCAAGAACATGCAGAACAGGAGATACAGGAGAAATGGGAGATGAGGCTGGATTTTGTTGTGCTGTTCCCCAATGGCAACCTTCTGCACTCTTCAAATGCTATCACCTGATTTACACTCTGTGGCACTTAAACAGTGCTCTCTTTAACAGCAGCTCCAAGTTTACCAACCCGACGGTACTCTTCCATGGCAAGGATCCACTCAATGACAATAGAAGCTCCTATTACAAAGGTGAGCCCTGAGCACTACCTTTTCCACTAACTCACGAGTTCAGAGTTTCTCTCATAGGGAACGCTCTAGTTTGTGGCAGGACAGCTACGGTTTCATGCACCTTTTATTTAACAGAATAACTTAAATTATTTTTTTCTTTAATTTCCTTACTACTTTCTGCATCTCATTCTAAATCCTAGCCAAAAGAAAGACTAATAAACAGGGGAAAGGGGTGTCCTTGCAAGAGGGACTGCTTGTGGCAGGAAGAGGACCCTGCTTTTGAGTCATGCATGTGTAGGAGGACGTGTGCTCCCACTCTCACCTTTGCTTTTACCATGGATATTTAAAAGATAGCATGAAGAGGAGGGAGCACTTACACCATATTCTGTCCTCCATTTTCCTGCAGTCTTTTCTTCACTATCCGTGCTGTACAGACTGCTGTCACAAAACAGCTGTACATCACTTGTCCCACAAACCAAGGTGCCTGCCATCTCTGATTCTCAAAGCAGATTTTTCCCCCTCTCCCCATCTTCTCTTCCTACCACCAAGCTCTTTACTTCCCAGCACAACCTTCCTGCTAGAACAGCTGACACTTCCTTCTCCCCAAGCAGAACCACAGATGCCTGCAGTGCCCCCACAGCAGCTTCTGGTCGCTGCAGAAGAGAGCACTGGCACTTTCTCCCTCAGTCCCTGCAGTCGTTATTGCTGCTGTGTCGTTGCTGTGTTCCCTGATTGCAGCTGAGACATAAGGTGGGAGGCAGAGAAGAGCTATCTTCTCCCAAAACCATAGTCCAGCTGTTTCTGCTCTCTGCACTTAGTTTTCACATTGATAAACTAAGGCTTTACATCAAGTATCAGGATATCTGAGTCACATCCAGGAGTTTGGTTGTTGGTTATTGTTTTTTCCTCTAGACTGAATGATTGCTTCTGAGCAGCCCTGGCTATGCTGAAGGACTGGGACATGGCTAGTTTTTGGTCTACCCACCTGCCATTTTTTCAGATACCCCACACCATTCTGCTTCCAGGAGTTTCCCAGTTATAAATAGCAGATGGATACCAGGGAATCTGAGCACAAATTTACGTTTTCAGAGTTGTACTTCAAGGGTTGAGGAAAAAATATAGCACTTCCAGGATGGGAAGTAGCATAATCAAGCCAAGAATGAAAATTTTCTAATAAGAAAAGACAAAAGTGCCATTCAGTCTTCCTCACCTGCCTCTTTAATCTGTTTTCAGGTTATTAACATAATTAATGCTGCCCAGGAAAACAGTCCCATCACAGTAGCAGAGGCCTTGGACAGGGTTCTGGAAATCCTGCGGACAACAGAACTTTACTCCCCTCAGCTAGGTACCAAAGATGAAGATCCTCACACAAGTGATCTTGTTGGAGGTCTGATGACTGTGAGTAAAATTAATAAAGATGAAATTGCCACTACCAGTGCCCTACATCACAGTTCAGTGCTCTGCTGTGCTAAAATTTCACAATCAATGGGAATTCATCACCATCTCACTTAAGTATTTTGGTCTTTCTACAAACAGTAGACCCCAAGATGTAGTAAGATATGGCCACATCTCAGTCCATTGGGTGCATTCATCATCGTATATAAGTGAACACAGTTGCCACTGGAAACTGTATCATCCATTCTGATTTGTCTCAAATACTTTTTGGGAATCCTAGAAGCTTAGATGGGAATAGAGGGATTGCTCTACAGCTGGTCCAGTGTAAGGGTAAGGTTATTTTAACCAAGTTCTGACTTTGGTCCTGTAATAGCAGCAATGCTGTCTGCCAGAGACCAACTGCCTCGATTTCATCAATGAATACTTCATTTTTTAACATACACTTAGCCAATCCTTGTCAAAATACTATAAAAAAATGAAAAATAAGTTATAGTTGCTAATTTGAATGGTGAAATCCTGCAGGTACCAATGAAAAGGTCAAGGAGGGCAAAACACTGTATAGTTCATAATGTCCTTTCTGGAGATCTCAGATTAGTGCTCCTTGGATCCTTTCATGTCTGTTTTGGAAGACCTTAAAAAAAGGATGGTGCTTATAGTGCTACGATAGGAATAGTAGCTAAGGAAAAAGTGTATGTGGTGTTTTCGCAATTAACGGTGGTTGCTCTGCCTAAAACTTACAATAAACTTGCTTTTTCAGGATGGCTTGAGAAGACTGTCAGGAAATGAGTATGTGTTTTCTAAGAGTAAGCCACCATTTTAAATTTCCCTTTGCATATGTAACATCTTTGGTAGATGCTGGTGACATAAAACTCCAAGCTAATGTGCAGTAGGATGTCCATCCTTGGAAACAGTTGCTAAATGACTGCAGAACAAGTGCTAGACTGCCTCCATTTTGGAGCTGAAGCAGATTGAAAGAAATAAGAAAACAAGACTATAGAAAAGCCAATAGACTGTAGAAAAATAAGACTGTAGAAAATAAGACTAGGAAAATACTAAATTGTCACTCAAAGAAATGTTCATTGATCATTTGGTTTATGTCCAAATCACATGTAATAATATAAACTATATATATTGTAGGCTTTATTACAGACTTTTTTATTGAAGGAAAAGAGTTGTTTTACTTGAAAATGAGTTGTTTTCTAAATAGAATTCTGCATGTGGGAGTTAAAAATAATCCAGGAATGTCGTAATTCCCCAAATCCATTTCAACAGATGTGAACCTGAGCCATAGTCACCTTTCAGTGCCAAACACCATCAATGATGTTCCGCCCTGTATTGCACAGCTCTTGGATAATGAGGAAAGCTGGGACTTCAATATTTTTGAGTTGGAGGCTGTTACAAATAAAAGGTACTGGACTCCTTTCCCCGAGGGCCTGCAAAGAGGTTATTGAAGAGCTGTAGCTGCTTTGGCACAAGGCACAGCGAATGTGTGAAAGCGGTCTTCTTTGTGTGTGTGTGTTGATACGACAGTCCCATTTAACAAGCCAGGCATGCACGATGGTCATGGGTAGAGCTGTGCAGCCTGTTGTCTTCCCTGACAGCATCTGCAGCCCTCCAGGATTGTCTGGGACATGACTCCCATCCACTCTGTCCAGCTGACAATGTCTGGCATAGTCTTGTGTTGTTATATGCTGGATACCGCACAGATGCCCCTCTCTTCTGCTGATATGCAAATAGTGCTGCTGGAAAAAACAAGCCTCTTGCTTTCTTCCCCTAGAACCCCCTGTGATTTAGGAAGCTCTGAGGCAACTGTGGCTTTTGATTATAGGGATAAAAAGCTGAGATAGAGAATAAAAAAGGGATAAGATCAAGGGCCTGACCTTTTAAAGCTTATGATGAAAGAAGATGCCAGTAGTTTTGAGTCATGCAGACCACAAAAATAAACATGTCATGCACAGACAAAAGTTATTTTCATTCTAAGATGCAAAGAATTGGAGAGACTACCTGGACTTTTGTACTCTTCTTGGAGAAAGTGGCCATTTCTGGAATTTGCATTTGCCTGGTTTTAATTTGCAGATGTTGGCTTTTGGTTGTGCCTTTCTCAGCTCAGGAGCTCTGTAGATCACCTTGCAGGAGTGAAAAATGTGACTGATAGATAGGGCTCTGTCACAGGCCACACAGAGTAAATGACAACCCACAGTGAATTTCGACTTAAGAACCAAAAAGATTAGAGATTTTACTCTTTTTGCTCTTTCACACAATGGCTCACTGCTGTCCTCCCCAGAATCACATTTGCCAGACCCTGAATTCCCTCTCCAGCCAGGAGATCACTACTGGTTAGGATTCAAGACATGCCACTTCTGTTTAGTCCAGCCCATACCCCATGAAGCAAGAAAGTAAAAGGCTTCTGCTGGAGAGTTCAGAAGTTCTATTTTAGACATTAAGCCCCTACAGACGCACACACAAGCAGTTACCTACTGCCTGTTAGCATGTGGAATTCAAGGGAGGGTGGTTTACTGATGACAGATTCATGCCTCAGCTTTAGAAAGTGATCCAGTCCTAAAGCTAGGAGAGTTCATATGAAATAAGAACTGCTCTGGGAGACATCAATACACTTTGCATATTGCCAACTTCAAACAGTCAGTGAGTAGAAATCTGGACCCCCTGAAGCCACAGGACAAATTTAAACAGCAGACATTTGACCATTTTAGCCTTTAGGGTGTGCCTGTGTCATGTTCGAAGTCTGCTTTTTTCTCCTCAGGAAAAATATGAGCGTTTAAACTTTTTTCTGAAGCCAGAAGAATTGGTGAAACCCTAGTGGAACAGTGCCCTTTCCACTGAACATATTGAAAGGATGTCTGAAAGGATGGCAGATGTAGTGATCTGTAACTTAGTCAGGCTTGTGAGAGGTTGTAGGTGTGCAATTTAAAACTCTTTACCATTCCCCTCCGACTTTCATATATAAGGTCTTATTGGTTCCTTTGCCAAAACTCTCTCTTTAGAACATCAGAAGTTTCTGTTTTACAGCAGTGCTTTTTAATTCTATTGTTTTGCAGGCCATTAGTGTATTTGGGCTTAAAGATTTTTGCCCGGTTTGGGGTTTCTGAGTTTTTAAACTGTTCGGAAGGAACACTGCGGGCGTGGCTGCAAATGATTGAAGCTAACTACCACTCCTCCAACTCATACCACAACTCCACGCATGCAGCAGATGTCCTGCATGCTACCGCCTTCTTTCTCAGGAAGGAAAGAGTCAAGGTGTGTCTCAGTGTGTTTGCCATCTTATGTCTGTCATTCAAAAGTCAGTTTTTTCTTTAATAATGGTCCTGTCTTCATAAAAATCTCTCTGCCCCTGAAGTATTCCTGTTAATCTTTAGATAAACTGCCCACACAGTTTATCTAAAGTCTATATGAGTAATGAATTTGCATTTTTAAGTAACAGGAATAGAGGGGATACCCGTCTCTTTTCTGTCCCCTGGTAACTGGTTGTTAGTAACAGCTCTTAATAAAGCTTTTCAAAAGCTTTGAAGAAGGAGGTGCTGAGCTCTTCTCCCTGGGATCCAGTGACAGGATGCATGAGAATGGTTCAAAGCTGCACCAGGAGAGGTTTAGAGTGGACATTACGAACCATTTCTTTACTAAGAGGGTGGTCAAACCCTGGAACAGGTTTTCTAGAGAGGTGGTAAATGCCCAAGCCTGCTGGTGTTTAAGAGGCATTGGGCAATGCCCTTAATAACATGCTGTAACTTTTGGTTAGCCCTGAAGTGGTCATGCAGTTGGACTTGCCTGATCATTTTAGGTCTCTTCCAACTGAAATATCACATCCTCTCCTATCCTGAAACACACGAGCTGTATAGGAGCAGAGTCAATACAGAGGCATTCAGGCAAGCACACACAGTAGAATGACACCATTAGATGATCCATCCACCATTAGAGAATTTTAATGCAAAGATATGGTTGAGGTGACAGCACAGTAAAAGGCTTTGTTAAGGAAAAAGGGGTTTGGTAACGTGGGGGGACGGTTTTGGAGTAGGTAACCTGTGGGCGGAGTGCATGGAAAATAAGTGTAAGGAAGTATAATCCCTTCAGTCAAGCTTACACTTGTGTGTTTGTGGATACCGGGAAATGATCAGAGTTATTTACTTTGATTTTTGTGCTACATCATAATTTTTATCTCTTCCTGTAGGGAAGTCTTGACCACTTAGATGAAGTAGCTGCGCTAATAGCTGCCACCATTCATGATGTAGACCACCCCGGACGGACCAACTCTTTCCTGTGCAATGCGGGCAGCGAATTAGCTGTCCTTTACAATGATACAGCTGTATTAGAGAGTCATCACACAGCACTGGCATTTCAGCTTACAATTAAAGACAGCAAATGCAACATTTTCAAGAACATTGATAGGTGGGTCTGCTGGAGAAAGGGGAGTGTGTGTGTGTGAGTTGCTTCTTTGGTGATTTTAGTTTGGGGTGGATTGAGAGCCTACCTTCTAAACCAGGAATATAATTTAGATAAAGACATCAACATTTTACCTCTTCCAGAATCCCACGTAGGTGTGATTTTTCAAAGCAGCTAGATGTGCCTGCATGTGGCCCCATGCTTGCTGGCACTGCCGCATTCACATGGGGCAGAAAGGTGGGTAAGTGGAAGGAGCTGAAACCTCTGGGAGAGTTGGAAACACCCTGTTGCTGGGTGTGCATGTAGCCTGGGAGTTCCCATTGCATCAGCCTAGCTTTTGCAGGGACAGGGTGGAGAGAAAGTGATGTGTAAGAGAAAGGGATGTGAGAGGGGACAGGCCTGACCCCAGGAAGGTGATGAATTTGTCTATACCTTATAACACTTCTGGGTTTTGAAAAACCTGAGATATGATTCCGAGCTAACAGAGAGTGAGATGGAAATGTGTTGGTGCCATTCCTGGGGGAGTTGTCTTAGTGTTACAGTGTTACAATTATGAAATTGAACTGTAAATTTTTATTGACTCCAGAGGATTGCTTTTCATTAGGTAAAAATAACAAGCAAACAAAAAACCCCAAACAAACAAAAACCAAAACCAACCAACCAAAAAAATCCAGGTAATATGGGAATTCAGAGCTGGGGGAAGCCGTAGAAGCATGATACAACCCATTCATCAAATGCTGCTTTTCCCAAGCAGCATTCTGCCGTGCAGTCTGGGCAGGGATGAAAAAGGACAGAGCTCTGTCTGTCAGGCTTGCAAGCAGGAACTCTCTTTTCTTCCACAGAAATCGCTATCGGACATTGCGCCAGGCCATCATTGATATGGTTCTGGCCACGGAGATGACGAAGCACTTCGAGCATGTGAACAAGTTTGTGAACAGTATCAACAAGCCAATGGCATCTGAGGAGACCAGTTCACACGTAAGTGCTGCAGGTCTTCATGCCTTCAGGCATTTCAGTGAAATTCTTCAGAGAAACTTTGTCGTTTTCATTCACGTTGTATTAATTTGCACTGTGGTAGTGGCCAAAAAACACAATTGGGTTGGTGACCTCACATCTCAAACTGTGGAAAAATAATTTGTTTTCTTTTCTGTGTCTGGCTCTGCCCTTGGCTCATTTAAACACTTCATTTTACAAGGCATCCCTTCAAAAGCCATCTTGTGTTCAGAAAACCTGTGAGTGGGTTCTTTTGTTCATGCAAAATTCTGTGCATGGCACCAGGTTTGCACTTGTGCCTATGGTCCTGCCTCCAAACAGTGGGATTGCCTAAACTCAGGCTTGCAACTCAGGAATCTGCCCTGGCAATTTTGTGTCAGTGGAATCTGGAGCCTTCAAGCTCTTCACCCCATCCCCATTCCTCACTACCAAGAACTGGCCAAACATTTATTTCTATCAGTTAGACACTCTCATGCTCCAGCACCAGCCAGGGTACCTTTCATAAGATGCTTCCAGGCTTCCCAGCCCAGGCCCCTCTCGATCTTCTCTTGTTGCCACTTGCAGTTGAGTGCTCAGTGCCTGGAGTGCTCTCCAAGGCACAGTTACTCACCTAAGCAAATACCACCTTATCACAAGTTAGCGAAAATAGTGCTTAGAAAGACTGAAAAAAAAAAAAAAGTCAGACCAAATTGAAGGTCACTGGTATTAAAAATAAATAAAAATAGCTTCTGTCAGTTCTCCATAACCTGACTTTTCACACTGTAGGTTGTCTTGTCATGCAGGTTCTCGCTCCATAGATTGCCATGGGTGCAGAAACCAGTCAGTGTTTACAGCTTTGGAGACAGCATTACATCAGTTAACTGACCTGCTTCTAGGTATTGCTGAGCTCTGTTCGCCCAGCAGTTTTTGAGCTGGAAATCACAAATACAGCTGAACTTCATGGATTCTATGGACACATTGCACTGTATGCCCCAGCACTTCCAGTCTCTGGAGGGCTCACTGGATGTGGCACTGGGTCTGAATCAGCCTGATCATCTTCACTGTCACAAGTCCCACAGCACAGGGAACATGATTTGGGCACTGCTGAGGGCACCTATCACTGTTTCTGCATGGCACTCCCAGCACATCACCTGGTGCTGTGTTTCATGGGTTTGCTCTCCAGGCATGGACTAAGCCAGGACAGCGAGGATCCCACTTTAGATCAAGGCCCAGAGGAAAGGAGGGTCCACATTAGTAGTGGAAATAGTACTCTGAGGTTTCTCTGTACTTACGTGGTGACCAGATAGCAGCTTGTTCCACTGGTTTCCAAAAAAGGCACCTGAGGTGTCACTGGGAAATGTGGCTTCTCACAGTGCTTCATTTCTCCCTCTGACAGTTTAAGCATTGTTATGAAATGTCTCCTCAATCTACACCCCTTTAAAATGTCTTTAGTCTTCTGGCACCCCCACACTGGCCTGTGAGACTTAGATTCACAAGCCTCACTGAAACGACGTTTCCAAGCTCTGAACATATTTCTGGGAATCTTGCTTTTATCCCATGAATGCATTTGTTCCAGCACTTCCTAAAGAGCTGTTCTTAAATACTTTTATTTTACTCATTCCCTTCCATCTTACCAGTTTATAGCAGAGGCTATTTCAAAATGTACAAGAGTTGGAGGGCAATAAAAGTGGAGCACAGAAACACTTGTATTGCAGGCTTGATTTTTTTTTCCCCCTGATATTAGGTTGTTCTGTTCCTCATGGTTAATGGTGGCTCTTTCCTATTTTTGGTTAGCAGCTAAGGAGCAGTGTTAATTTGGAATCTTTTTCAGCATGCTGAAAAGAAAATAAATTAATCTGACGTTAGAAGATTAATGTCTGAATTGGCAAGAGTCACTGCAAAATATCTCCCCATAAACCACAAAGAGGTTAATTTAGCCATGATGGTAAAAAGTATTCATGCTCAGTATTTTACTACACTTGAAACTGCAGTGAAGGGAGGCTATAACTACACATTATTTTGAGAACAGCATTAATACCATAGTGAGCTGAGGTACAGGCTTTTTATTACTCAATAAGGAACATAATACACCTGTGCCCTTCTAAATTGTTCAAGACCCAGAAGATGATGCCATAGCAGACTTGTAACCACTACTTTGTCTCTTTCACCCATTCTCAAGAGCAGTGGATAAGCAGTTTTTTACTGCCTAGAAAGCAGAGACTCCCTGCAGCTACTCTGCCACTCCTGCATTTTCCTACTGTTAATCTCAAAGATTATCTAAAACCACATCCTAGCTGGTAACTAAGAACAAAAAAATTAAGCAGCCAGTACCATCACCATCCCTAAAGTTAAACAGCTCAGCAAGGAGGACCATTTATCACCTCACAGTTGGTGGATGCGTCCCCTGTCCTTGTCCTGTTGCAAGACAGCAAGACTGGGATGCACAGAAGGGTAACTCACTCTACGCAATTAGGAGCCTGTGATTGTTTTATTTCACAGACTTTCCTATTAATCATGAAAATCTCTACAACTGTCATGTGTAATGGGGCTTTAATCAGTTACTTACCAAGGCTGCAGTTCTCCTTTGCAGTTCTCCTCCAAATTCCTGGTGCTCTATATGAAATTAGAAGGCTTCAGGCGGGATGCCTGCTTAATGCCTACAGTGCAATGGAGCCGCTAATGATGCCCTGCTCCTGCTGACAGGGATACTGGCCACTGACTCCTGAAACCAACTCTCTTTTACAGAGTGAAGGCAGTGACTGTGAATGTACAGCCAATATAAAGAATTTTCCAGATAACCAGACACTGATCAAGCGCATGATGATCAAATGCGCGGACGTAGCAAATCCGTGTCGCCCCCTAGAGCTGTGTATCGAATGGGCAGGGAGGATTTCAGAGGAGTATTTTGCACAGGTATGTATATTTTTATGACTATTGGGTTAGGTAAAAAAGTACACATCGGCAGGTCTGCTGTTCCACATGGGGTCTGCCTGGCATCACCATGGAGCCAGATGTATGCTTTTTGTCCCCAGACCTTCAGTTTCATACAGAAGAATTCACTCTAGTCAAAGTTAGCTAGTTTGCTTACCATGAAGTTTGCAGTACAAAATGGTGAAAAGGAGCTTTTATACTTTCTCCATCTGGCTAAACAAAAACTATTTGATTAGCCTTGGTCGATTTAATTGGCTGAAATTCAAGATTGTCAACATTCTAGCTTATAATCCCAATACCTTCCCTGAAGAGAGCATGAAGACCCTGCTTGATGAAGCCCTCCACTAAGCCATCAGGCTGCTCCTTTCTCTTCTAGGATGGCACCTGAACTACCATCACAGTAGGCAGACAATGTGGTAGGCCAGTACTGCAGACATGTGGGCAGTGTAAACACTTATCAAATGGGATCTCTCTGGACAGAAATGGAAGCTCAGCTTCCTTCCTCAATAATCAGTTTTTCTACTGCTGCACAAAGGCACCAGTTCCCTGAAAGTGAAACGCTCTACCAGATCTTTAGTTGAACAACTGGCAGATTTTTAGCCCTCTTTCAGTTGTAGCCACAGAGTTAAAGGGCATGCCCTTACTTCTATTCATCTTATAACCCAACACAAGCAGAGAAAGTAGCAACAGCAACATTCCTCTTAAAAGATGAATGGTTTGAAACAGACACCAGAGATGTGGTAAAAAAGATCCCCAGGAAGGTGTCAAGAGGATGGGTCCAGGTGCTTCTCAGTGGTGCCAGGCGATATGACAAGAAGCAAGGGCATAAACTAAAATACAGGGTGTTCTACCCAAGGAAAAGCTTTTTTACTGTGAGGGTGACTGAAATAGGCTGTCTGGAGAGGTTGTGGAGTCTCCTCTCCTGAAGGCATTCAAGAGCTGTCTGGAGACAGTCCTGAATAATGTGCTCTGGGTGTCCCCTGCTTAAGCAGGGAAGTTGGACTAGGTGACCCCCAGTGGTCCCTTCCAGCCTCAACCTTTGTGTGATCAAAACAGCCCTCTATTAAGGAATGCTGCAACCCCGCTTCCCATTTTTAGCTGATGTGCCCTAACCACCAGAGCTGAGCATTCTGTCTTACTAGAGCTAAAAGCAATCACAGCAGTAGAGTAACAGAGGGAAGAGATGTTGATTTCAGTCCCTGTTGAGACAAAATAAAGCACATGAAATGAAGGCAGGTCACCTCAGGGGTTCTAGGGTGTGACTCAAATCTCCTACTGCAATTCATCTGATCCCCTGGCTTTTGCTACTCCAGCATTAAAGCCGGCAAAGTTCTAGGGGCTAACTGGAGTTTTGTTTTCTTAGACTGATGAAGAGAAGAAACAGGGTCTGCCTGTTGTAATGCCAGTATTTGATAGAAACACCTGCAGCATCCCCAAGTCTCAAATTTCCTTCATTGATTATTTTATAACAGATATGTTTGATGCATGGGATGGTAAGTACTTCTGCTTTTTTCTTCCTTGCTTCGAGACAGAATTCAACAGACTAAACCGACCAATCTCAAGCTGGCCTCGAGTCAGTTTTTTCCAGGGACAGTACCCATATATAAGTAGTAACAGCATAAGAGCTAAGCAGTGATTCTGGTTAAACCCAGTGCACTGCACACAACACACTTCATGAAAGTTGAACACTTACCAGGCAATCTATGTAAAGGAGTAATGGCTTTAAACTAAGCTTTTTTTCATCTAGAATGCTTGGGTTTTTTTTTTTCTTTTAGCAATGTATTTCTTCTGAGCAGCAGAAACTGAGGCCACAGTGGTTGTATGTTAGCACAATTTAATGAAGTCATCATACATTAAGAAAGGGAGTTGCCTGAGAAAGAAACAGACTGAAAAGATCTTTCCCCTTTTAGCATTAGCTTACAGCTGGGAACAAGAAAAAGTAGGAGAATGCCGATTTCAGATTAGGTTGGGCTGTTCTGCTTGTTCTGTACACAGTACAATTGATCCTCCTATTCATTTCAGCATTTGCACATCTGCCTGTTTTGATGCAACACTTGACTAATAACTACAAACACTGGAAAACACTGGATGAATTAAAGTGCAAGAGTATCAGGCTCCCATCAGAAAACAACAACTGACACTAAACCAAGGAAACCAGACCTCTTGATCTACCAGTTTCACTGTGAATCACTACAGACGTGGATACAAGAGGGGTGGTGTTACCTTTCCAGTGAAATTGAGACTTTCTGGCAAGAAGGAAATATTTTATTCACTCACTTCTAAGCTTCTCTGAATCCTAAAGAAAAATGTTTTCAAGGCGACTACATAATCCACAGATTAATAAGTGCTCTTTGGAAATAACATTTTGTGGCAAAAGATGTACTTCTGAAGCTGATTTCTAATACTGAATATACATTTGTCAAATCTTGTAATTGATACAACTGTATTCACTAATACTTCATCCAACTGTTTCTCAGACAGAGGGGTAAACTAGTCACCAGTAGACTAAGAACAGGTTTAAAAATAAGCATAAAAACTTCCCACCTGTCTAGCATAAGCTTTCTCCAATTCTGTTGATATGGTTTAGAGAGCTGAAGAACAATTCTAAAAGAGAACCTGCACAGTAGAACAAGTAAACCTTGATAAACAGGACACAGTAAAAAACAAACCCTTCACCATTTAACACAACCTTCTTATTATACAGACTTTCTCTTAGAGCACCACTGTTCTTTCTTTTCCATATAAAATCTTGGTAGCAGTCAAATTCCCTTAAAATTAGTCATATAATAAGGAAAACAAGATGTTCTGTAAAATTGCTGCCATCCAACATGCTTCCCTGCCATCTTAAGAGATGCTAACATGTTTCATCAAATTTTACACAAAAAACATTGTGGCACTTGGTCAACATCCTTTTCTATAAAGTGGTGTTTATACACATCATCAATTTTATTAAACTGATCTAAATTTAATGAGAAGTCCATGTATGCTACTTACGCCTAGGATGAACCTGTTGCTTTTTAAAAGAGGTTTCCAGGTTACAGTTTGTAACAGCATTATAATCTGTACTGCTTTTTCCCCGTACTAAAATGTTGGTTTGTTTTGTGAGGTAAAAAGTATTTCAAAATATGTAAATAAGTTAGAAATCAAACATAGTTTTTCATTAAAGATACAAAATTTATGCTTAAGCTTCCAAAGCACAAATGTGTATTTTTGTACATCTCATTTTAACCCTGCACAGAACATGAGTTCAAATTTTAGACTACTCTCAGACTATTCAGTTAATAAATACTAGCTGAACTGCTGATTTTTAACACCTTGCACTCTAGGCTGCAGGCAAGAGCTTCAAAGCTGTGGCTGCAGTTGAAGAAGCAGTCCACTACTCCTTAAATGGAAAGGTCTTGAGACATACCCTTTACCTCTCCTATGCTGTATCATGAACTGAATCCAGTAAAGGTGAAAAGAAAAAAAAACAACCCAAACCAAACACATAGAGTTTAGATTGCTGTGGAAGAAGAGTGACAATGGCTACTGTCTACTACAGGTAGCTTACATAATGTGCCAACTTTTTTTGTATGTTTTGTACCAAGTTCTGAAACAAAAGGAAACATTCATAAAATGTAAGTGCAGATAAATGTATATAAGCTATATTTTTATTAGAATTGTAACAGACCCTTACTTTTGTCATAGCTAAGGCAGGTCGCTGTGTATTAAAATGCTGCATTGTGTATATCTGAAGAATGGTGTTTCTGGTGAAGTATGTTTATTCATTCTTTCTTATTATCTATTGCAATATTCTTCAATGAATTTTTAGTCACATAAGTTGAATCTGGTTTTTATATTGTAAACTGTTTGCTTTTACCATTCCTTTGTTTAGAACTAGTGTTCTCAGTGGCTGTATCTTAAGTATTCTGATGACTAAACACTCACTGCAGCTTGCATGAGAGGAAGGGATTTCAGAAGATTTAAAGCTTTGTTATCTTAATTTGTTAAATACAGCAACACTAAAACCACACCCACGTAAAACATTCATTATTTTTGTCACACTTCTGTCACAAGGAAGAAAATGGCAATGGTGGAAGGAACATAAGAATTAAAATTCAGCCTCAGTTCTGGTTCACAAGGCATTGATGCGTGATCAGTATATTTGTTGCAAGAACCTGTGTTTCTTCCCACAGCCAGAGACCTAAGGAAAAAAGTAGTCTGTGTGGCAGTATGTTCTTTTTAAGAGCAAAAGAAATCAGCACAGAATAACTGTCATCTGCCAGTTGTGTCAGAACTCTTAGACTCTGACCTGTCCAGTTGATTATCAGCTGCCTCAGAGTTATAGAAGCATTAAGGGTAGGTCTGCTGGTTAACTCTATCAGGTTAACATGGAATTCTGCATTGCTGAGATGTGGAAAAAGAAATTTAAAAGGACAAATTTCTAATCTGGTTACCCAAATTCTGCTTACTAGACTTTCCAAAAGCAAGTGACAAACTTTTATTTAACAGGAGTGGGCTACTATAGCCTCACTACTATGCTCACAGTTCACCTGTAAAAGAAAGAACTCGATGTAATACTTTCAACTCAATTATATTTAAAGGAAAAGACATGTGGGAGCTCTATTACCAATGGAGCATTATCTGAGAACAGTGGCACTTTTGATCGATAGAAATATTTATACTTGCATGTAGGACCATTTAAAGCTGAATTACATCGCTGTAAAATACACAGCGAGTTTTTTTACTAGAACTGTTCAGTTAAATAGAATCACAGAATCATAGAATAGTTAGGGTTGGAAAGGACCTTAAGATCATCTAGTTCCAACCCCCCTGCCATGGGCAGGGACATCTCACACTAAACCATGTCACACAAGGCTTCATCCAACCTGGTCTTGAACACTGCCAGGGATGGAGCATTCACAACCTCCCTGGGCAACCTATTCCAGTGCCTCACCACCCTAACAGGAAAGAATTTCTTCCTTATACCCAATCTAAACTTCCTGTTTAAGTTTTAACCCATTACCCCTTCTCCTGTCACTACAGTCCCTAATGAAGAGTCCATCCCCAGCATCCCAATAGGCCCCTTCAGACACTGGAAGGCTGCTATGAGGTCTCCACGAAGCCGCCTCTTCTCCAGGCTGAACAGCCCCAACTTTCTCAGCCTGTCTTCATATGGGAGGTGCTTCAGTCCCCTGATCATCTTCATGGCCCTCCTCTGGACTTGTTCCAACAGTTCCACGTCCTTTTTACATTGAGGACACCAGAACTGCACACAATACTCCAACTGAGGTCTCACGAGAGCAGAATAAAGGGGCAGGATCACCTCCTTTGACCTGCTGGTCACGTCCTTTTCATGCAGCCCAGGATACGGTTGGCTTTCTGCGCTGCAAGTGCACACTGCAGCCGGCTCATGTGCAGTTTCTCATCAACCAATACCCCCAAGTCCTTCTCCGCAGGGCTCCTCTGAATCTCTTCTCTGTCCAACCTGTAGCTGTGCCTGGGATTGCTCCAGCCCAGGTGTAGGACCTTGCACTTGGCATAGTTAAACTTCATAAGGTTGGCATCAGCCCACCTCACAAGCGTGTCAAGGTCCCTCTGGATGGCATTCCTTCCCTCCAGTGTATCAACCGAACCACACAGCTTGGTGTCATCGGCAAACTTGCTGAGGGCGCACTCAATCCCACTGTCCATGTCAGCAACAAAGATGTTGAACAAGACCGGTCCCAACACCAGTCCCTGAGGGACACCACTCGTCACTGGTCTCCAGCCGGACATTGAGCCATTGACCACAACTCTGCGTGTGGCCATCCAGCCAGTTCTTTATCCACCAAGTGGTCTGCCTATCGAATTGATGTCTCTCCGATTCAGAGACAAGGATATCGTGTGGGACAGTGTCGAACGCTTTGCACAAGTCCAGGTAGATGACATTAACTGCTTTACCGCTGTCCATCAGTTCTGTAGCCCCATCATAGAAGGCCACCAGATTGGTCAGTCAGGATTTCCCCTTAGTGAAGCCATGCTGGCTGTCACCAAGCACCTTGTTGATTTCCATGTGCCTTAGCATGCCTTCCAGGAGAATCTGCTCCAAGATTTTGCCAGGCACAGAGGTGAGACTGACCGGTTTGTAACACTCTGGGTCATCCATTTTCCCCTTCTTAAAAATGGGGGTTATATTTCCCTTTTTCCAGTTGTCGGGAACTTCACCTGACTGCCATGATTTTTCAAATATAATGGCCAGCGGCTTAGCAACTTCATTTACCAGCTCCTTCAGGACCCACAGATGGATTTCATCAGGTCCCATGGACTTGTGCACGTTCAGATTTTTAAGATGGTCTCGAGCCAGATTCTCTCCTACGGTGGGCCCAAGGTCTTCATTCTCACAGTCCCTGCATCTGCCTTCCAAGACTTGGGTGGTGTGGTCAGAGCCTTTGCCAGTGAAGACCGAGGCAAAGAAGTCACTCAGAACCTCAGCCTTCTCCAAATCCTGTGTAGCTAGCTCTCCCGAGAGCTTCCTGAGGGGGTCTACATTGTCCTTAGTCTGTTTTTTATTTGCAGTGTACCTGTAGGATCCCTTCCTGTTAATAACATCCCTAGCCAAGTTTAATTCTAACTGGGCCTTAGCTTTCCTAACCTGGTCCCTAGCTTTCTGGACAACATCCCTTTACTCTTCCCAGCCAGCCTGTCCTTGCTTCCACTTTTTATAAGCCTCTTTTTTCATCTGAATTTTCCTTAGCAGCTCCCTATCCATCCAAGGAGGTCTCCTGGCCCTCCTGCTGCACTTCCTTCTAGTTGGGATGCAACACTCCTGAGCTTGTAGCAGGTGATGTATCAGTGAATAGATGAATAGCTCTGTTTTTCTACCATACATTCACTTAAAAGCAGTCACATAAAAATTAAATAGTTGTTCTCATGTTCTTGTGGTTTTCACTGTTGAGAACGTAAGCTTATCATGTTTTCAACTGATACACTGCAAGTAACTTACTCCTAAAATGTTAAAGTGCTGGATCTTCTAAGTATACCCAAGCACCCTCTTCTCATGGCTTTATGACCACCAAGTTCCCCAATTCCCCCCTTCCCTTGCTCAAATGGTAACTTACCACTCATTATATCATTCTCACTCACACTTTCTTTGTATAATTTTGGGGGGGGTGGGGGGGGTGTTGTGCTTTTGGGGTTTTGTTGCTTTGGTTTTGGGTTCTTTAGTTTGGAATTTTTTCCCCACTCCTGTTTAGTTTTCAGATTACTAATGCTGTCTCAGACTAGAAAAAGGCATTGTGTACTTATTTAGAGGCTTTTTATTTTTAAACTCTAAAATACTACTTATACTTACAAACTTGGTGCAGATTTCTCTGCAAACTTCAACTGAGAATTTAATATTCATCTGGCAGAAATGTTTTGCTAATACTGAACACACTGACTGCTGCTGCTTAAGAAAGTATTTCACATCCTGAAAATCCATGGTAATGCGGGTGCTTTTTATTAGATACGAATTAATTTGATGAATGTTTTGTGGAAAGACTAGGCTAAGCCAATCAAACTTCATGCTAAACATGATAATGGTGCTGTATAAAATCCAGCAGTGTAGGTTAACCCACAGTAAAATGGTAGCTACTGCAATTTAGGAATAGCTTTGCGAAAAAATTTAAACCTGACAAACCAGTATTGCCTTATTTTCTTTCTTGCACTTGCCGTTAGTGCAGGATAACAACTTAAAACGGAAGAATTCTATCTCAGAACTGTTTCTTTGGGGTTTTTCTCTAGATACGTATCTCAGTCATGACTGCCTGAAGTTTAGCTTCAAGAAATACATTATATCAAGCAGGAAGACTGAAGTGTTTTTTTCTATGCTTCCTTTCTGCATATACAATTGTGGAATGCCCCCAGCTGCTTTACTTTTGAACCATTTAAGGACTTTCACAGATCTTAATTTTGACATCTGCCCATGATATTTTTAAACATTAGGAATAATATTAGAAACTATCATTATCTTCAGTGTTTCAAGAGAACACCATTTCTGCTGACAGAGTAAACAAAGTAACTTTCAACATGCAAAATTCTCCTTTGAGAAGAGTAGCAGCAACTAATTCTAATATAATACATGATATTACTGGTAGTCATTCCAAGTAGTTCAGACTTTCCTTCACATTCACATTTAACACGTACCCAGTTTACATATACATAGCCTCTACCCAAGCAATTTAAAGATTGAGCTGCAAAACACCATTTTGTGCCAATTTTTGAAACAGTGTTAAACTGCGAAGTCTAGATTCTCGTTCACCATCCTTCCACAAAATAATGAGGTGGTCAGCAGAGCATGTAGCCAGTCCCAGTTCACCAAAGTACAGGAACATCTGCAATGAGAGAATTACTATTACCTTGACGCTCATATGAGACTGTCAGCTTTATTAGCTGTCTGGGGTACAACTGGACTAAACAAATACACATTTTGCTTGAACATAAGTATGCAAAATTACAATGTATACTTCCTATATGTTTGAGATATCATAAAATCCCCACATGAAAACAATTCCTTAATTGCACTTCACACTGAAAGATCTCAGTTTAGAAAAACCAGTAAAGCCTTACAGATAGGAAAGCTAAGGTACAGAATATTGAAGAAACTTGTCCCAAGTCAGCAGCAGTGAAGTGCGTGACTTGCATGAACTCTCATCGCCTGGTTTCTTAGGAATAGAAACCACCATCCTGTTCTCTTGCATACACTGTCCCCTTCCCACACAACACCATGGGCTACTATCACCAGGACTGGAAGGATCACAGAGTAAACAAATGTGACAGACATCAGAACATGCCTGCTCATACAGAGGAAGCCAAACCAGCAGGAACTGCAACACAGGAGAAAAGTACAGGAGCAGTGGAGGGATTTTGCAAAAGCAATGGAGCTGACAAGTCACGTAGTCATCCCTGACTTCAGAGCCCTCCAGAAGGCAGCCTCAAATTAGCCACTAATCACAGTTCAACAGCCAATGGATCCAGGTCATTGATACCACTATGGCATGTTTGCAGTGTCCTGACTCTTTGGCTTATGATCTGCCCAGGGGAGCATTCAGGCCAAGGACTGTGCTACAGCCTACCAGCTCTGGCAATAGCCACTTACTAGCTATGCAATTCCAGTAGAATAGTCTGTCCAAGCCCACATCTTTGACAATCACATTTCATCACTACTCAACATTTCCAGCCTCCAGTCTGCCCAGAGTTTAAAAATGGGATTTCCCATATGTAGAACATTGCAGGAAATCATACCCACCATGATCTCAGTTACTCTGTGACCCTGTAGTATCCCAGCAAAGACCCACATGTGCCTTCTTTACTATGCCTCTTGCTGAATTACACAGTATGTCCTCTTTCTCAGATAGCAACTTTTCTTACTGATAAAAGGGCTTCTTTCGGCAGTTTTTCAGGAAGCTGGTAGAGAAGGGCAGAAAACCTTGGAGAAATCCCTGTAGCAGAAAGGTTCACCTTAGCTATTACTGAAAAGATTTCAGCTCTTGGAAGCAGCAGTTCTGAAATCCAGTCAATCTCATGAATACTTGTGAGAAGAACTACTCCAGAACCACACTGTTCCTCTCTACCTGCCCTTCTCCCTGCTCTTGCCAAGAATCTGTATAAAAGGCCACAATAAGAAAGTGATTTGTTACTCCAATAGGCCTGTCAAACACAAAAAAGCGTGAAGAGAAAATGCCATTTAAAACAAAAACATAATTTATTAGGCAGACAGGCACAGAATAGTACCCGATACCAGTTAAGACTCACAGCACAAAGGGCTACAAAATTCCTGATTGTTTTATATGAGTGCTTGTTAAGATTGCAAAATTAAGATGAAATCTGGAACAAACACACAGTTCCCAGCTGTATATTTTGCAGTCCATTAAGAAACCAAATACCCTACGTATATGGATATAACTGCACACACAATCTTTGGGCATTGGTGAGTGTTTGAGTTCTCATTAGAACTTTAAGTCAGTATTATTGTTGTCACACTGCACTAAATGTCCTACACAACTAATGTTTGGAACTGGTGTTCCCAACCTTCAGAGCGAGTCAGAAATTACAGTTCTTTAAGAAACACTGCCAAATTACATCAGTAAGTGATACTCACTTTTTCTTGTTCTTACTAAAGCTCACCTACCTGCACAGCTGATGAATGACCAATCAAATCACCAACCAGCTCCAAGAAATATACAGGTGTATTTTCCTGCATCTTCTTAGTGGCCTGGTTTGCCTGCTTGTTTGCCCTTCCAAATCCCCACATGTTGAAAAACCCTGGAGGGGGAGACAGCAGAGATAAGAGCAAAAATGAATATTTTGGGTTTTTTTTTCCTCTACCTAAAGAAAGAACTACAGGAGTCACTTAAATCTAAAAGCAGGACAGTCTGCATGGCAAAATGACAGAATTGTTGTCCAGCACCATGCTTTTATATCTAGATTATTCACCTTGATGGGGCAAAGAAACATAGCTAGTTTGTCTTTTGTCCTAAGTAGACTTAATTTAGCAAACATGAATTACTCACCTGGATGAGACAACAGATGGATTTAACAAGAAAACCAAGCACTGCCAAAATTAATTAGCTGAACAGCAAAGGTAGATGCAGCTCTGTGATGTTTACCTTTGCTCTCTCTTTGTCCTCCTAAACTGTTACTTTCATAAAAAAAAAGGAGAGAAATGAGGTGGCAGTCTCTCCCCGTGTGTCCTGCACTGAGGCATTAGAGTGCTGGCATATGGATAACAAGCAAATTTCTGATCCTGAATTGCCTGTTTTTACAGTGCCCACTGGCTTTCTCCCTCAGACTTAAAATTATCAGGTAAACTGGAGTGTACATATTGTACTCCACGTTCCATTTAGATAGCAAGAAAATACACGTCTGTGCCACAGCCCCTAGGAGAACTGTGGAATAATACTGGCAGAAGTAAGAAAGTTGGGTTCTGTATACAGCCCATATCAGACTTTCTTACACCCTTCCCTCGGCCCCATCGGCACAAAAAATGTGTGCTAGACCATGGCCCTGGTGCAAGGGAGATAACTGGAGAACTGAACAACTACTCAAGGGATTCTTAGAATATAAAAATAGAGTGAATCAACAGCAGTCCACCTATTGTACCATTACATATGTTTTTCTCAAATGCCTCCAATAATAGACATTGTAAATTTCCAATGTGAAACCAAACGCTGCTTGTCACAAGAAGAAAGAGACTGTACACTAGCTGTCACCAGCAATACTGAAGACAGAAGGTTCCTGAAAAAGACTTTCTAAACCAACCCAGGTAGCAAAACAGGATTTTAAAAAATAAAATTTAAAAAGCAGCCAGGTAGGCAAGATACACCATGAAAATTATTTACAGCTTGGATTAAAAAAAAAGTCCTACAAGAGAGATTAACAGCTCATTACTGTTCCCAGTCTATGATACTAACTACATTGTCCAGAGCACCAGTTCAACACCACAGCTATTAGAGCACAGGGAAGCTGCTGGCCTGGTCAAAGAGCAGCAAGCACTACACAGGCAGTGTCTGTACTTGGCAGAAAACACTTCCTAAAATACTTGCAACTAGCCCTGAGAACCGAGATGCCCAGAGTTAGCATGTAAACGATGTTAGATACAGCTCAAAGTGAGTCCCAGTGTAATTCCAAGTTCAAGAAGGAGATGTGGAAAACACATTTTTCAGTGCCAGCTGCTCATCTGCAAGCTTCTCTTTGGCTTTCTTCACAAGGTCCTGCAACTACTTACCCCTGCATGGAAGAGGGTCCAGCACAATTCAGGGCAAGAAGTGGATGAAGGTTTGTCAGGAGAAGTCATAATTTTTGTTAAATCAGCTGATACAACAGTAAAGTCTAAATAAACTTTATGGCACAGAACTGCTTCAGCTGGACTTTCTAGCTTCCTGTATCAGATCTTGGGAGGCTTGTACACCTATGTCTTCTTCAGTTTCCCACCCACATCTATTACCAGTTGGTTGAATACAAGACATTATCTCTTCTTACAAAGCCTGTAAGCCTCTCTACTACTGTATGGTGAACATCAGCTCTTCCAGTATCCTTTTTAAATGTTCTTTTCACCCCACACTATAAGCAAACCTGTTGGAACCGCTTCAGCTGGCAGCTGCTGCTTTTCTCGGAGCTCCCAAATGCGCACACTGCCATCTTCTGAACAGGAGATCAGCTGCCTGTAAAAACAGTTGTTAAGCAAGACTAGCATGGACACTTATCTGCACAAGTCACCTTGTGACATTTCTATACAAGAAACAGCAAGTGCCTCAGGGTCTACACACAAGTTTGCTAGAACTCTCAAATGTAGCAGGACATTCAGGTGTTCCATATAAAATAAGGTGCATTTTTATCAGGTGGAAAAAAATTACACATTTTCAATCCCATTTTGAAATCACAGGACTCAGTAAAACATAAAATAACAAGTCTAGACTCTGCAAACACAGTTCCACTGCCTTCCATAAGCTTACTTTCATTAAGAACAAACTTTTTTTTTCTTATAGGAAAATAACAAGAAGAAACATACTTCTTTTCATTACATATTTACAACAGTTTAGAACAGCACATGCATTTGCAAGGCCCTAATTTTTATTTTCCAACAGGCTTTTTCTCCATTGAAGAAGGGTATAAAGGGATCTAACAACACAACTATGAGATACTTATAAAGTAGCAAAATGTCCAACTTGGCTGTCAAAATAAGTTACATCTGGAAATTCAACTGGACAAATGCTGGAAGTTATTTTTTGTTTAAAAAAATTTCAACTGTTACAAAATACTTAGCGAAAAATATTTACTGTATAGCCATAGGCCTTTGCTTTATAGAAATAAAATGCTATTAAGCTATATTTTCTCAGTGTAGACAAAAGTGCTTTATCAGGTCTGATTCTGAAAACAGTCATTTTAATGTTAATAATTAAGCATACTATATTTTTTTCACACTGAATTACAATGTTGTATTTTCAAAAATCAGATCAACAAGCTCCATCTAAAATAGGCAGATCAAACTAAAGATCATGTCCCTGCCCCAGAAATTAGATGTAGCTTTGCAGACTGACTCTAGCCACCCTTCCAAGTTCTGCATTTCTTTACTGCATTAACAAAATGTACCATGACTTGTACCTGTTTGGAATCTTCTCAATGTGCAGTACAGAAGAGTCGTGAGCAGTTCTTTGGCAGGCAATCACACGCTTCATTTGAAGATTATATACGTATATGCCTTTCCCAACAGCAGCAAACACACACTGGAAAGAAAATTCAATGGAACAACTTGCAGAAACAGATACTGAAAGATCACTCTGCGTGTAATGGATTTCCAGCAGTACTATGACATCATCTGGCCTGCATTATCCAGCTTGTTTCTGTCCTTGTGTTACTGCTTTATCCCGAACATACAGAATCAGCAAGTAACAGAAAAAAAAAATTGATTTTTTGAGGAAATGAGAGACATGTTCCTATATTCTAAGCAGTTGTTTCATTCCTGTATTTTTATCCTGTACCTTAGAGGCTAAGCAGAAACACATGAACACATTTCTGCAATTAAATATTTATGTTCTTACACTAAAATAATACTCTGTGTTTTGACAAATTCTTGTTTTATCAAGAAAGACTGAAAATAATGGAAGCTGTTCTGCATTTTTGCCTTATTTCTTTTAAACTTAACTGAAGCTGTAAAAAGAGGTCTGGCTTAAACATTTGGGTTCTACAGAGTGTAGAAAAGGAATTCTCTCACAGAAAGGTATTACGCAACACTACAAATACTTTGAACCATTTTACATTCAATGCTCTTCAGAAGTGCAGGGATTCTGTTTCGTAGTCATCATGGCCTTAAGAAGCCACAAACAGCTCACAGATCATTGGACCCAGACCCTCTCACGATTTCTAATGATTTTAGACAACTGCACGTACGTACACACAATAAATATTTGCTACCAAAGGAGGAGTGCAAAATGCTTCCATTCAGTGCGTATTTGGATTTTGAATCTACCCTGTTTAGGTGATAGTACACTGAATCATTTCCCTGAATGGCCTGCTTCCGTCTACACAGCCCAAACATTAATGCCTCATAAGCAGTCAACATTTTGTAAAACTGGTAACCCAGTGTCTTTGACTAAGATTCCATATACTTATATGTATTCAACCATGTTTTGACACTTCACAAAACTCTTTGTCCAGATTTTTGTTGCATTTTAGTTTTTTGGGGTTTAGGTTATTGGAGGGGAGGGGGAGGATTGTTTTGGCTTTTGCTCAGTTGGGATTTGGTTGGGTTTTTTTCTTCTTATGCACATGTGTGGTGGGAGCTCAAATAGCTCTAAAACTGAGCTTAGATTTATGATAGCACTCTACTAAATCAAGCAAAAACACTATGCCCATTATTATTATTTTCCTGGTTTTGTACTACGCTTAATTCAATGGCCTTCCATATCACTTTGCCACCTTAAGTATCTCCCTTACGGTCTTCTGCCTTAGGACAGGCTCTCGAATTCCATATAGTCCTTACAGCTTTGTAAGATGTAAGACTCTCTTCACAAACCGTTCTTTTTTTCTTTTTTTTTTTTTTTTTTTAAACACAAGCCCCAGCAAAACTCTGGTCATTTCAAACCTGATGAAGCATAAATTTTACACCTTGACAGGCAAGTTAAATACACACACACGTATATCAGGACAGCAGGTACACTCCTCAGCATGGTTTCTTAATATTGCCAAACCTTTACCATCCCATTTATCCCTGATGATGTTTTGCCTACGAGCTCAGTGTCAAACCAGACGTTTTCTCCAGTTACTTAACTACCAAGCTGCCTACATAGTTCACAACAGAGGAAATATCAATTTTATTTTTTAAATACGAAGAACAGTGTTCTGCCTTTAGGTAGCAGGTAACAAAGTAATTCATTATAGGAAGTGGTGAAGAAATGTATTCCTATGTAGGAACTTTACAATACGGACAGCTCCACCCTAAAAGCACCTTCTATTTCAGGATATTATGCTACAACTACCTTTTCCTCTGATGATTCAAAAGTATCATAATAAATAAATATATTCTGCAGCAATTTGTTTAGTTCACTTCCATGAAAGGAAGAAAATCCTCAGCAGCCCTGGATTCCACATTCAATGTTTTAACTCCTGAACGTCCCAAAATTCCTTCTCCCTCCCTTTAAAACCCATCCATGTAGTTTTCAAGCAGGGATTCAGAATGTTTTGAAGACAAATTTCAGAACTTCTTCTGAACAGGACTGGCTTTTGCTCCTTCAAGAACTACGGCACCCACAACAAAACCACAGAGACAAGTACATCTTTCACACACATACAGACACACAAACACACCAATGTTTCTCTCTCCAGTATTTCAGGAATGCTCTTTTCACAGACAAATGCATCAGGTAACTATTTGGACCTCAGCCTACATTCAGGATTTTCCACAGCTTTTATTTTGTTACTGTTTGTGTCTTTTAATCCATTTCCAGGAATCCCTTTCTTGCACATTTTAAATAAACCTCTCATATTAAAACAAGTAAACTGAAAACACAAAACACTTGACCTCCTGTGGTAGGTAAAGTCATGGTCATGCCACTTCATTTGAAGTAGTTCACTATTTAAAGCTTTTTACCTCCTCATCAGATGTTAAGTGTTGAACTGAAGTTTCATTTGGGCTTTGAGATAACTTTATTTCTGGCTGTACATCTGGATGAACAGAGGTGTCACAGAAGTTGCACTCAGATGCCTGCTTTGTCCAGTCAAGTGCATCCCAAACTATTAACTCACCCACATGAGAACCCGTCACAAAAGTAGAGTCTAGAGGGGAAAAAAAACCACATACATACAAATCACATTATATTAAAACAAAAACAAAAACCAACAAACCATTTCACATAAAATTACAATCCCAAGAAGCTAAAAAAGCCTGTTTTCGAGTGAAGCTACGTAGAATGTGCAGTATGTAACTGACAAAAAACTCTCCCTTTGACTGAACATTCATTTGATTACATAGCATAGCTCAGATGAGCAAAAGAAAATGAGCTCTCTCTTGCAGAATTAAAACTGAGAACATCCACCAGGGCACAGTTCAGTATAGCAAAGGCAAGGAAACCTGTCAAATGTACAAGTATTTGAAGTTCATTTGTTGCCTATATACAAAACCCTTCTACTCCTTGCACAAGGAGGGGTATCAGCACCCCTCAGACACAACAAAGTATGTCTCTGCCATAAACTTTAATACTGATGAAAAACTAAATGGATGACTTAATGGCAAGATTGAAGCAGCTGCTCATGAATTTGTTAATCACACATAGAAAGGAACTGCTTCAACAAAACATAGGTTTTGTCTTTTTAAGGCCAATACAGTTTCCCCTTCATAATCAAAAGAGAAAATAACTGCAATGTATATACATTCTCTATCACATCAGAAATAGATTGTCCTGGGCTCTGGGGATGCTCCATGCAAACAAAAAAAGACAGGGAAGAACAAAGTACAAATGGTTTATAGCTGTAGTAGAGTAGACAGAATTTCAGGTAGTAGCTCAGTATTGCCCTAACAAGCAGCAGAGATCGCACCACCTTCCAGGGCCTCTAAATAATGGATCTATATGTGGGCCCACATCTGCACACCCTGAACTTTCAGTTACCTTGGGACTACAACTGCAAAGAATGTGGCATTGTATATTCCATTTTAAGAACCAAAAGGAATGAGAAAAAAGTGCATTTTAAAGTTTCCCAACAGGAAGAAGAGTTCTCACCAATGACATTGCCTCTTTTGTACCCTTTCTACATCATAACCTGCCTGATTTTATTTCACTGTTAATCCATAAATAAAGTCATTATATTTTCACATTCCACTACTATTTCAGCTACACAGAAAGGTACATCTACTAGCTATGAAGTTTCCCTCCAGTTAGAAGTTTGTTCCACAGTTGCAATATCCCACTGGTAACTAAGAAAACTAGTTACATTATAAAATGACTCTTACCATTGACACTGACTACTGACAAAATGTTATCCTGATGGTCAACAAGGCGTTTTACTTCAAGGACATTCCAACCTTCAGAGCCGCCATTACAAGCAATCAACCTGAAAATTACTTAAAAGACAGAGAGATAAGTTGTTTAAATGAGCTTTATCATTCAGAATAAAATGTAGCTATGCTTAAGTAAAACACAGTTTTTCAAAAGACACAAACAAAAACATAAGTGAGACAGTTTAACATGTACAAAGCCACTTATGGCCATTCATAACACCACAAAAACTGGAATAAATTATTTCAGTGTTATTATTAAGGCCTCTTACTACCGCAACTATAGGCTAAAACACTTCAGCCCACCAACACTGAAATTCAGATAATCTGTCTACATCAGAAGTTGCAGAAAGTAGAAGTGAAAAGTATAAACATCTTTACTGATAAGTAAACTAAAAGCAAAACATACTTCTTGATGGCTCATCTGACTGAAAACTATCATTCAAAAGGATGCAATATTCTCTAGTAAGACCATAAAGATCGACAGGAATTAAGACTTTATTTTAACCAATATTGGAATTTCTTTTATATCTCAAGGGCACTGCAGAACTGTGGGAAGTTCAGAAGGAAGTCAACATTGCATACCAATGTCTAAATACAAGAAGACTATTTGCTCCCAATTCTCTGATCAGAATATCAGATTGCTATTCTTAGCAAATGTTTAATCATATTGAGTAAAGTCTGTTTTGCTGATTCAGAGCTCTACTTTCACTCCTGGATTTTTTTATAAAACATTCTATTTAAAAGACTGCATCAACAGCTAGCTGCTGATTTACAGTCTGCACAGACAGAAAACCCTGTCCTCAACTGAGCAACAGAAACCGTCATATTGTCTCATTATAGCTTTGGACAGTATCAAGAGATTGGCAGTATTTCACATTCCCAATGTTAGGATAAGGAGGCTCTAGAGAAGCCTAGTGTCTGACAACTCAAGTAATGAGATCCTGACCTTCTCCAGGACAAATGTAGACCACCACAATCAGATCTGGATAGGTGGCAATAATAGTAATAACAATAACAATAACAAAGAATATAGGAAAGTTTTGTCATGCAGAATTCCTGAATGAGATCAGCATTGTCTGACTGTCAGATAACAGAAAAAGGAAGAAGGCTGCTAATCACACCCTAATACCGTTCACTAGTCCTACAGAATTCCAGCAGCATGCTCTTTACACATATTTCTGATAAGCAGCTATTATAGAAGTATATGAACATTTAACAAAATGCAAACATACTCACTTAGCTCTTTGCCAACAGCTGCCGCAACACAGTTTTTAGGCAATTCAACCAAAGCAGTAATACCTTTGAAAAAATACAGGAGATAAGGGAGAAAAGTATATTCATTGACCATAATAAAACACAGCAAACTGTTAATTCCTTATTAATAAAGTTGTTCATAATCTTTCTTCCATTTACAAGGTATTATAAAAGCATATTGCCTGAAGTGAAAGTTGAACAGCATTAGACATGAAGAGATTACCTCAGATGGAGACAGAGTCAGGAATTTTGGTCCTGAATCCAGGAGAATTCTAAATGTCAAACTTGAAGCTGAGGATCAATAATCTTTTTACTTTAAATACAGTTACGATTTTTATGCCCTAATGCTGGACAGTATTAAGGGTAATTATTTAGACTCTCAACATATGCAGTACCGAAGTTTCTAGATACTGCTACTACCACAGTAAGCATGATACTAAAATACTGTGCAGAGCCAGCTGAAGAATATGTCACAAGATAAAATGCCCAGGTTGCTGTTACTGTGCCGTCACTCTGCACAGAATTCCCTCAATCTGTGCTGCAACACCATCAAAGGAAAACCCCCCAGGGTCTCTTTCCCCAAAAGGGAAGCAAGAGATTAGGAGGGAAGAGAGGGTGCATGCTGCACATCTTATTGATCACTTGTACAACAGTTTCAGCAGCACCTCGTGCAAAACACTACAGTGCCATTTCCACCTGGTATTTGGCATGGTATATCACACTGGCCTAAAAGAAGCATTAATATACTCAAAGATTCAGAAGGTTTTGCCTACGTCTACTTCATTCTATGACAAAAATATGAAAAATATTGGTTCCAACTTTGAATTTTGTTCACAGCTTCATACGTATCTTTGTAAAGTATGCTAATAACATGCAACAATTTTCTTTGCATGGACAGATAATATATAAGCTTATTAACAGAAAAGTGTGACTGACATTGAAATCTGATTACATTTACTGTATTTGTATCAAAATCTGCACTATCTATATCAATAGTATTAATTCTTAATAATAAGAAGAAATGTTTACTGCTTTACTACTAGAAAACTTTACAGGAATAATAAAACTCCCACTTGCTCACAGAGAAAGGCAGCCAAAGCATCTAGTCCACATTAGAGCAAACATGTAGAAATCAGCATCCAAGGTCTAAGCCTGTAAGTCCAAGTTAACTACACTTATTGATGTCTGACATATTCTAAAATTCACACAGCACAGGAGACTAAAAGCAGCCTTAATTCTGAAATTATTAACTCTGACATTTAAAAAAATAGAGAGTGGCTTTAATACATAATGTTATCATTAGAATTAAAGAGAATTTGCCAAGTTGGTTTTGCATCATTATACAGATCCATTTTACTTGCACTTTAACAGCTATAATGAGTCATTTACATTTTTACCTGCATCAGTAAGATGACTGGTCTTACACAAGAGATCTAATTTTCGGTTCCAAACACATAGATCACTCCCTCCAGATAACCATACATTCAGTCTTTGAAGAACTGTCAAACACTGCAGAACAAAAATCAGATATATGTCCCCTGCAAAAGTTCTACAGGGAATTTCTCAGTGAAATGATCATGAGCTTTAGCTAGATAAAGCTGTAAGTACTATAAAATACAGTATTAAGGTGTCACTTTTGTGAGAAATATTTAATGATATACTATATGTTACTTTTTTCTATCAAAAATGAAAAAATTGATTTTTTCAATTTTTTTTTTTTTTTACTATTAACATCCCAGGGATTAGTTTGACTGTAGGCTGCCTTTTCAAACACAGTAACAAAACCAAGCCATAAAGTGACCTTTGTTCTACATCCTTTCAAAAAGAAAACTGAGGTATTAAGAATTCCAAAAACAAATTCAGAATTGTGCTCACTTCCCAGCCACCCATTATGGACCTTTTCTTAAAGCAACCACTCATGTTCATTTTAACACACTTGCCCATACGGTCCATAAGTCACACATAATGGGTACTTATATACAAGAAAACAGCAGACATACCTAGGTTTTCCTTTACTTACCTTGACAGTAGAATGGAAACATGACACTTTCTGAACCTGTCTGCCACTACTGCAATCCCAAACCTGACTTTATTTAATAAGGAAAGTGAAAGGTTTTTAATATATTGTAACTGCTGTGTTTGTAACTAAATGACAAATCCGGAAATAGGTATGGAGAATGTCAGTGTTTTAAATACTGACTGTGTTTTCAGTATTTGTCCAAAATGAGATATTAATAATAGTCTGCTATGGATTCATTTTTGTAACAAGGATTTCAACTACCTGTGAGCAATAACTAGTGAAATCCTAGTGTAATTAGATTATACCTACTAGATATTATCAACCAATAAATTTAAATAACCTGCACCCTGTCTCAATGCTACATTTAAAAGTAAAACCACAAACGCCCATAGAAATTTGAATCTTCTCCAGATATAAGGATACAATAACTGTTCTATCAGCTGATGCTGTTAAAATCAAGTGTTTTTTTTCTTCAGAAGAATCTGATGAAGGAAATGGTGCTATAGCTGTAATTTTGTGTGTGTGTCCATGAAGTTCAAAAAGTTTTTCTCCGGTCTGAAAAATAAAAACATGGAAAACTAAGGTAAAATTTGGAAAATGCTTACTATAACATACAACTGTAGTAATAAATGTCACATAATTTTTTCATAAGGTTTCTAAAAATTTTACAGTCTGAGAATTCTGCCTTAATTTGAAAGTTTGATACGCACTGTTTAGACAGCACAGTACATCTCTATTTTAGACTTCCTGTCGAACAATCAAATTTGTATGGCAGCTCTCCTTAATGCAATTCTAGCGCTCATCCCTTCTCTACAATTTTGTCGATGATACAAAGACACAAAGCAGAAGAGCAGAACAGATATACTTACAGCACTATTTCCATGATACAACTGATGTCTTAGTACAGTAACAAAGTTTTTATCACAGCAAGTAATTAAAGCCTTGTTTCTGCACTGCATGAAACATTTAACTTCACTGACTTTGGTGTCTTTCCAATACAGCTTTGTGTCACCTCTCAATTTAGTCTAATCACCTATACTACAAGTAGGTATCGGTAACAGAACCACTGAAATATACTTAAAAACTTAAGTACATATATAAACCTTAACAGGATTGCTACATATTTGTTGCGTAACTAGTCAACATTTGAGTGTTTACAGCAAACCCAAACATATTTTAAAGGAAGGCTTAAAGCCACAAGTTCATATACACTTCTGCTTTTCAGATCACCAGCTCCTCACAGATATCTATAAAAATCACTATTGTCTTTCCAAAACTTTTACTCTCCTAGCTCTCCTTTGTAAACTCAGATTTGACAGACTCCCTCCACTTCTACATTTTCAAGCCATAGCCCTCCAGCAACTCTTATTTATTCTGCTTCTTCCCTACTAGATGCTTCTAACTCTTCTCTAAGAAGTTAGAAGAAACTAGCTTCTACCCTCTCCAGAGCTCCCAAAAAATAGCTAACCTGAGCATTCCACAGAAATATAACACCATCATCTCCTGCAGATGCAAACCTGAAATAAATAAATTAAAAAAAAAAAAAGCTGTGAAATCTTCAGATGTAATGGTAAAGCCATAAACAGTTATGTAAGAAAAACATTTACAGTATTTGTACATGCATATATATATCTCAGTTTCCGGCTCTGAAGAATAATCACATTTGTAAACCACAAACTTGTAAATCCCAGTTAGTTTATAAACTGAAGTCAGTACATTTAAATAGGTATTTATCAACATATACTTAATATAAGAACAAGGCTTAAGAATTTCAATACATAGTATTATAAACATTATAGAAACAATTCTTTTGTTTGAAAATGTGAGATCTTACACACTGAAAAACAGCAAAAAAACAAGTACTATTATTCAGAACCAACTAACGGCAAGTTTAACAAGTTACAAACTACTCAGCTCAGCCATGAGGAGCCTGGTATTTATGGTGATACTTTAAACTGTAGCATAAGTTGCTTAATTGACTTCTGCTAAAAATCCAGCTTGAAGGCATACCGTATGAGGAAAAAAAAAAGGTTCATATTAGCTTGTTAATTTCACATTAACAAAGTTAGACCTAAATTCAATAATTTTCTTTAGGCTAGACTGAATATCTAACTACCTGCCTACATTTGCACCTTATCACCACCACAGCAACACCGTAGCTGGCACACACATCCCAGCTATCTCAGTAAATGCGTCCTATGAGTTGAGAAAGCCTAGAACAGAAGCAAGACTTTCCAAAGATACTTTAATTCAGTTGTTACTTGCAAATATATCTACCTTCTAATTTTTCCTTTTGTTTTAAGCTTTCACTAAGGGTGAAGTCGATATTTAGAGAAAAAAGATTTGTCCTGTGTGCAAGAAAGTCATGAACAAGAGAAGTTACATCCCTTCTGATTATGCTTCTGTTACCAGCTGTGAATGATTTCATTAACAATATGCTTGTTCTTTCTTTTAGACTCTTTGCAATTACGCTGATTGTGAAACTTGCTAATGTGAAACTTGCTAACAGAGTAAGTTTTCTGACATAAAGCCGCAGGGTTTTTTCCCCAGAATTTCTTCCATATATCCTTTTGTTTTATTCTATTGGGGGGGGAGTGTAAGCTGTATTTTCTTCATATATGTCATTATTTTATATCCAATCAAGCCCCTTCTTTAAAAAGATTTGAGCAAAGAACAATCTTCAATGCACACTTCTAACTACATTTATTTCCTATCTTTAGTTGCCTTTTAGCTCTATTATACCCTGTTTTGTGACAATGACAAGAACTTAAAATAGTAAGACTCTCACAATTCAGGAATAGTCAGTTCTTGAGTAACACTGGAGATGTGTGTCACTTGAACAAAATTTTGGTCTTTGAAAGATGGCATGACTGTAATTCATCAACATAGAAGCTCACTAGAGTGCTGTTCTGTGCATTTTCCTCCTCATCTTCTAACCAGGATTTCTGTTTAAATATAAAGGTATAGCTATTCTGCAGTTACATTCTGTTCACCAAGTTGGAGATTCACAGGTCACCTGCTTCTTTTCCAGTCATGATCACCATCATCTACAGCCTTCTCTGCTTTCTCGAGGCGCAAGAAATGGTCAAATGAGCCCCAAAACCCACTATTCTTCAAATGTATTATGAACTCAGTTTAGTTTAATGTGTCAGATGCCAGAGTATTACATGCAATTTTATCTCAGTCCAGTTTTTGGAATATTCTTGCTGAGGCTTAGCATTCTTTAATGATCTTCCAATCAATATGACCCTTACTTCATGTTCAAAAAGTACAAGAGAAAAGAATAATGATAACACATTTAAAAAAAAAACAACAGTTTTCTGTTACATTTATACAGGATTTATTTAGTATCTTCAAAAACCAATCTGAGAAAATTTTCCACTCACTGGTTTTAGCTGAGCCACTGAGAAAACAAGAAAATCCTTCTGCAAAATTCTCACTAAGACGATATTATCTAAAGACCTGAAGCGTGAAACTTAGCTTACAATAGTTGACAAAAAGCACACAATGGAACAGCTGCAGAAACTAAATAAAAACATTTCAGAAGCTGAGTAACAATACTAATTTTACTGAAAAGAATCAAGTGAAAAATACTATCAGCTGTTTAACAATCCAGAAACTACTATATTCTTGGTAAATAAAACCTCAGCATTACTGTCCAGTGAAGCAATTCCCTTAAATTCCTCAAACCCTCAGAATATTAACCAGCTATATAACTTACTTGTTATCCATATGCTATTTTTATAACCTATCTTCAATGCGGCCATGCAGAGTTTAGTTTTACACTGATTATCATTAGTTTAGCTTCAATAATTTACTTCAATAAAGCCCAAAATTGTGAAAGATTTCTCTGCACCCAACAGTGCATGCAATCTGAGAATACTCTGATATTTCCATAAAGATCAGGTATATTTATTGTGTGTTTTGGGAAAAATGTACTTGGAGGAAAGGTTTTTTTAACAACTTGTCTGGGAAAAAAAGAACTACAAAAAGCCTCACAAGACTCTTCTATTTTTATATGAATCTTCTGGTGGATTACTATAATGTAGACAAATAAATTTCATGGTAATGCATATAACTTGTCTGAAATACGTATTTATGACATTAAGAATGAAAATTGGCAAGCTAAAAACTCTCCATGGACTCTTCTGTGAAATTTTCATCACAGCATCATGGAACAGTTTGGCTTGGAAGAGACATTAAAGACCATCTAGTTCTAACCAGCTTGTTGGGGTAGGGACACCTTCAGACACCTTCTGTTAGACCCATCCAACCTGGCTTTGAACACTGCCAGGGATGGGGCACCCACAGCTACTCTGGGCAACCTGCGCCAGTGCCTCACCACACTCCAGTAACGAATTTCTTCCTGATGGCTGATCTAAACCTCCCCTCTTTCAGTTTAAAGCCATTCTCCCTTGTCCTGACACTACATGCCTAGTACTTCTCCAGATTTCTTGCAGGCCTCCTTTAGGTACTGGAAGGCTGCTCTAAGCTCAGCAACAGAGCCTTCTCTTCTCCAGGCTGAACAAGCCCACCTCTCCCAGCCTGTCTTTATAGCAGAGGTGCTCCAGCCCTCTGATCATCTTCATGGCCCTTCTCTGGACTATCTCCAACAGCTTCGTGTCCTTTTATTAGGAGCCCCACAGCTGAACACAGCACTGCAGGTGGGGTCTCATGAGAGCATAGTGAAGGGGCAGAATCACCTCCCTCAGCCTGCTGTCCACAATTCTTTTGATGCAGCCCAGAATACAGTTAGCCTTCTGGGCTTCAAGCGCACACTGCTGTCTTGGTTTCAATTTTCCATTCACAATATCCCCAAGTCCTCCAAGGGAGGGTTGCTCTCAATCCAGCTATCCCTCAGACTGTACTGATCTTGAGAGCTGCCTCAACTCAGGTGCAGGACCTTGCACTTAGCTTTGTTGAACTTCATGAGGTTTGCAGTGGTTCACCTCTCCAGCATGTCAAGGTCCCTGTGGATGACATCCCTTTCCTCCAGTGTGTTGACTGCACCACACAGCTTGGTGTCATGACCAAACTTGCCAAGAGTACATCAACCCCACTGTTCATGTCACTGACAAAGATGCTGAACAGCACTGGTCCCAACACCAGCCCCTGAGGGGCACTGCTCATCCCTGGTCTCCACTTGGACATCAATACATTGACTGCAACTCTTTGAGTGTGACCATCCAGCCAATTCCTCATCCACTGAGTGGCCTATCCTTTAAATCCATATTTAGACAGATCCGTGCCTGATCAATGTGGAGAAGAAAAGAACGTTCCTACACAGAACACCTGCTGTACGCTGCAAGGACGTAAACGAAACACTTACCCATGTTACCTTAGTGTAGTGTATTGATTAATATATTAGAAATCCCCTTCTGTGCCTAATCCATAAAAGATATAAATTACTAGAACTCCTTAATAGAGATACTAGTGCCTATTACTTACATTCTCAGTTCTAACAGTTTTCTATTTAATTCTCCACATCAGCCAAGAGTCACTATGCTTATTATTGACTAAAGGTTTCACAACCTTACTTTTAAGGCAGATAAATATTTCTTCTCTTTCAGGATTAAGTTAAACCACAGAATATGCAAGGTTAACTTCTACAAAACTAGGCTAAAATCTAGGTCTTAACATAAAATTACCATAATTTGTTCTCTCAAATGAATTCACACTACAAAATGATAATGGCAAATGTAGTGACTTCATCTCTGCTTCATAACCAGTTTTCCAGTTTTTAGAAACCTCTGTCCTCAGAGTTCAAAATAAAGTTGGACCTAATTACAAGGAACTAAGAAACGACAAATAAAGACCGTCAGGGAATATATAAAACAAAAGCACAAAAAGCTAAGAATTAGATGAGAGAAAAAAAGCAACTGACAAACTATAAAAGAAGAACAGCAAGTTGAACAAGACCAAATTGGAGGAGATATGTAATGCAGAGGTTAGGCGTATGTTGAATTTTACTAAAAAGTCATTCTAAATGAAACATTGAGAAGTTCAGAAAAAAGTTTCATTAACTGAAACTCTGGTGAATTAAGCACTAAAGTTTCAGAAGAAAGTATAATACAAGATTGGAAAGAAAGAAACAGCAACATTCAGTATTGCTAAAAATGCTGGGAATGTCATGTTCAATTGCTATAGTGTATCTGTAGAAATCTATAACATTCTTTTGTAGAACCAAAAGATGAAACAGCAGCTGCCCTCAATTAAAAAACCTAACGCATGCATCCACTCAGAACAGAAGCAGACACTACTGCATATTGTCCAGGGTGAAAGCCTGAAAGAGAAGGGTGGAATTAGCTAAAGGTATTTCTTTCAAAATATTGAATTTTTACCAAGAAATGTAACTCCATAACCATTATTTTCTCATGAACGTATAACTTACAAGAGAAGCCAAAAGACATAGTAACATGCCAAAAAAAGGCCTTTTTTAACTCCAGACTTTTCCTGCCCTCCCCACCGAAAATTAAAAGATTTAATTATAAATATTACAAAATTTTCATATTTTCTGAAGTATTGCCAAGGATGCTGGGAAACAATTTGAAATTAATTTTCATACCTGCAATCATCTATTTGCACAAGAAATCGTACTATGTCTTGATGACCTTTCAACACAAGGAGCTCCGTGTAAGGATTCTGTATTTGTTCTTCACCAATTGTCTGTACAGATGATTTCTAAAATTCATAAAAAGGAATGAAATTGATTTTGTACTGACATCATTATTTTCATTAGGTCTTTGTAATGGCTAATAACCTACATATGACTCGTGCAAATGTACAGTTATATTCGAAGTTAAACTAAGTTACTGAAATATAATTTTAACTTAATGAAAATTGTTACAAAAGATAATTTATTATTTCAAGTAAATAATATCTTTCTATAGCATGTATTTTGAATGACAAGACAGCATTTTCTGTTTAACAGAGACTTTTGTACTGCTTTAATCACTGATACACCAAGAAGAAAAACCAGTTTAGTCATGAGCTGTCATGTGGAGTCACCTTCATGACTCAATATCCACACATTCAGTTTTTCATTAAAATACACCTCTCCTGAGAGGTTTGTGAACCCTTCATATCTTTCATCTGCCATTCAATTTTAAAATCCTATATAAAGATGACATATTTAAAACAAACAAGAATAAATGCTGTTCTGTTACATAATATATAAATCATCCATTGGGAATCCATTCTCAAAATACCAAAGTAAATCACTTAAAAAAAAAAAAAAAAACAAGGACGGTTAATCATTTTATAGAACAGCATCTGCAATTACCCCCAACTAGACTATTAATTAAAAGAACAATCAATCAGGCTGATCACCAGACAGGGTCAATAAAATATTGCGCAGGACTGCAGTCTCAAAGTACAAGAGTTGTGCTTATCTCAATCATCAGTTTGTTTCAATAGAAGACAACTCTTTTACCTTAAAGGCCTTCCACATTCTGGAACAACTTGCTATTATTCATTATTTTAAAAATATATAAAACTAAATAGCTCAGTACTAACTTAGTGACAGCACTCTCCTCCTAGATTCATTTTATGCAACAGTCAACATCATCTTACTTTCAGGACTGTTTCTTCTTTGAGGACTTCAACAGAACCTAGACTGTAAAACAGTAGTTACTGCATACTGCACAACATGTAGCATACATGACTAGGAATTCTACATGAAAGACACACGTATTAATCCCAGAAACTTCAACATTTTCTTTCAGTAATATAAGTTACATTCTATTACTTCCATAATGGCACTATAATACTATTCTTCAGAACTTAAGAATGACAAAGCTAATAAACAGGGAAAGAAATCTTGTTTATTTTTAAAATGAAGAGGTTGTCAAAATGCAAGTTCTTGTGATTTTATCTTGGTTTTGTGCTATCTGATGCATTTCATGAAGCAACTGTTCCTCATTTTATGCAATTATGTGAGAATAGCAGTTCCCATTTAAAATAATGCAGTAGAGTCTGCATGGTTATAAAGAAAAGTTGGACAAACATGAAACTTGGGAGTTCAGCTGTCAAAAGCTCATCAAAACATTCCTTAAAAAAAAAGTTCTAAAAATCTTAAGCAAATCTAAGCATCACTGGATGACATTAGCAATACTGTAGAAGACTTCCATTTTTATTTACTAACAGAAATATACATTCAGAAATCAATTGCAATCCTGCTTTTAAAAAGTCAGAATTTGTAACATTAACATCCCAATTCTATATTGTTGTTGTCTTCTATTTAGTACAAGACTGTGCTACTTCTTTTGAACAATGTGTCTAATCTTACTCTTTCTTAATTCTAAGAATGCCTGTGAATACTGATACAGTGCTGATTATATACTACAGATAACAACAAAATAATGGGTTTTCCCCCAGTACTGTCATACAACAAGCTATGTTCTCTCTTCAGATCTTCATTAATATTCACCAGTGTGGGGTTACATGAACATTCCTTCTCTTAATAAATCCATCTTTTACGTAAACTAATAATTGAACTCTCTTGTTGCAACACCAAGTTTTTAGAAGAGAAGGCTAGATGCTGACACTAATGGAATCCACTGCCAACTTGCATGTTTTTATGCAGGACCTGTAAGCATCATTACATCAGTAAAAAAAGCACAATGTTCATCTCAACCTCAGAACTTCCTACAACCCCTGTGATTTCATGTCCTTAGAAGAGGGATTTTCAAAAACTCACTAAAAATATGAATACAACAGTACACATATATTTATGTGTATAACATGGAGCATGAGAAATTAGCTTATATTGACAATGATGCTACTAAAGTTAGGCTGTTCCCATTACCAGAGTCACACTGCTAGAGATATACACCAACTGAAAAGATTCAGGAGCTTAAGTCCTAAACAATTTTCAACTCCATAGTAAAAAAAGAAATGGGTAAGGAGGAATCTATATTTCACAAATTTAGGACAGCTTTGCCAGAAGCTCTGTCTATTTACCCAGTGCAATGCCACTCGAATACATCGGGCCTGTTCATAATTGGCTGATGCCATAGAACAAACTTTGTAAGTCCATAGCCCACACACTGCTATGGGCTTCCGTATCTATTTAAGAAGAATACAGAGATAGTTATGAAGATGATCTTTAGATAAAACAATACTACATAATGCAGGAGAAAAGGACTTTCAGGACTAACCCTTTCCAGTGTTTGCTCTTCACTTTTTCAACAGAGAAGCAAAATTATCATCTTTCAGCAAAACAGTGGTAGGGATGGAAACAGAACCATAGAATAATAGAACAGTTAGAGTTCGAAGGGACATTAAAAAGCATCTAGTTCCAACCTCACTCCCAGGGGCAGGGACACCTTTCTCTAGACCAGGTTGCTCAAAGCCCCGTTCAACTTGGCCTTGAACCTTACCAGGGATGGGGCAGCCACAGGTTCTCTGGGCAATCTGTGCCAGCGTCTCACAGCCTTCTTAGTGAATAATTTTTTCCTAATGTTTCATCTAAATTTTTCCTGTCAGCTCAAAGCTATTCCCCCTTGTAAAAAGAAATCTAGATTTCTTGTAGGCCCCTTTTAGTTACTGTAAGACTGTCATAAGGTCTCCCCAGAGCCTCCTCTTCTCCAGGCTGCACAAACCAAATTCCCTCAGCCTGTCTTCAGAAGAGGTGCTCCAACCCCCCAATTGTCTTCGTAGCCTTCTTCTAAGCTCACTTCAACAGCTCCATGCCCCTCTTGTGTTGGGGGGCCAGAGGTGGACACAGTACTCCAGGTGGGTTCTCATCAGAGCAGAGCAGAGGGGCAGGATCACCTCCCTCAACCTGCTGGTCACACTTCTTTTGCAGCAGTCCAGCATACGTTGGCTTTCTGGGCAGTCAGCACACATTGCTGGCTCATATTAAGATTCTTGTAAGTCAACACCCCAAGCCCTTCTCCTCAGGGCTGCTCTCAACCCAGTCTGTATTTGTGCTTGGGATTGCCCTGACCCAGATGCAGGACCTTGTACCTGGCCTTGTTGAATTCTATGAGATTTGCGCATGCCAACCTCTCAAGCCTGCCAAGATCCCTCTGGATGGCATCCCTTCCCCTCAGCATATCAACCGAATCACAAGGCTTGGTGTTGTCAGCAAACTTGCTCAGGGCACACTCAATCCCACTGTCCATGCCACCAACAATGACCCTGTGCATCATTTAACTAAGCTACAAATGGAAGAACTGGACCACATCTTGACTCATGTTTTTTTCAAATCACAGAATACTAAACAATAGCCAGAGTTTAAATTTTGGAAAGGAAGGCAGACCAACGTAGTTTTCTAGCATATGTTAGAAAGCTGTTGTGTATTTCCCACATTCCTTCTAAAAACTACTGCAGACAAACCTGCTAATTATGACTGCAATATAACCAACATTTTGACTAATGATAAAGGTCAGCGGCATTTCCAAACACTGCCATTCCAAATTGGTGCAGACTGAAATTTGCACCAAAGTAACTACTGGTGTTTGAAAGCCACCATGATATTGTCATGACTTGCTCATGTACAGCAGTCTGGACTACAAAACCACTAAGTGTAAGAAGCCCTGCAACAGTGTTAATGAACTCTAGTTAACTCCAAACTCAGAACTTCAGCAGTGTCTAAGGGACAAGAAAATCCTGATAATCTCTCCCCCAAACCCAGTAAAACTCTTTTCCCAAGTGAGGCAACAGGATGTCAGTATCACCACCCCACATAACTTATTTTATGATGAGAAACTAAGAAGAAATGCTGCAAGACTACTACAAACTACAACTAGGCCACACAAATAATAACTTACTACCTGTAATTTACATCGACCGGGGAGTCCCAAGGGCAGGGCTCCATACGTTGGAAACTACAAAACATAATCCCCACTTGCTCAGGACGTGCCCAACAGCCAGGAGGAAGCTGGAGCGCTCCTGCCAGTGACAGCTCCCAATCCCTTCAGATTGCGGGATTTGCTATTTGCTTTCGTGCTTTTCCCCTCTCCTCTTTCTCTTCAGCGGAGCCTGTAACCCCTTCTATCAGCCGGGGGGTTTTACAAGCTGCGCGCCATCCTCGAAGGCCCCCTGCTCCCGAGAGCTCTGCGCAGGTCCCGCAGGGCCAGCGACCCGCCCCGACGGGAAGGCCACCGCCCTCACACCGGCCCTCCCACTGCTGCCCAAGGCCCTCCACCGGCTCGGTGCCCCAAGAAAGCGGCTGTCCACAGGGGCAGCACTCCGGCCCCGCCCGCGGGGACACCGCTTCCCCTGGCCCCGCCTCCAGCTGCTCTGCCGCTTTCACCACGCCAGTCCGCCACCTTACCTCCGCTAGGCCCTGCGGCTCCCGGCCGCCCCCGATGAGCCACCGCAGCATCGGGAGCGGCTCGGTACGGCAGCGACGCTGTCCCTGTTCCCCGCCGCGGGAGCCTCGGTACGGCAGCGGCGCTGTGCCTGCCCCCACCGCCCGCTGCACCAGCAGGCCGGCCAGCGGCGGGACTCCCCCGTAGAGAAAGGCCTTCTCAATCGAGGACCGCGCGGAGACCAGCCCTCCAGCGGGCGGGGCTGGGAGGGCCTGAGCAGTCGATCGCCGACAGTGTGGTGTGGCGTGCCGCCGCCGGGAGGGCGCGGCGAAGGGGGGCGCAGTGGCGGTGTCCATAGCGTGGCTCACATCAGCCTGTGGGTAGTCTCTGCAGCGTTAAGTGCAAAGCGTGTTAATTCCGTGTAATGGACAAATAAAATACTATCTTTGTACTTGCTGCCTTGCAATTTTATGCTACTACAAAGGAGTAGTTACTGCCGTTTGATTGTGACGGCCTTACCTTTTTCCTGAAGTAAACAACCACCATTTTTTTCTGCCTGTAACAGATTTCCCTTGCTGTGGCTGTTTTCCTTCACTGAACCTCCTTTAGTTCTCCTCTTGTCATCTTGTCAGGATGGAGTAACAGCTCGCTCTCATCTCACCAGGATGGAGTAACAGCTACTGAGCAAACACTGTGTATTTGCAGTGTCTGCACCACGGGACTGAACACAGCCTTGCTTCAGTCTGCTCCTCTTGGTCCTCAGCACCATGGTCTGGGCAGCCTTTCTGAACGCTCCATGAACACAGAGCAAGATCACAGAACCCCAGCCAAAAGGCTACACAAACCCCATTCTTGAGCAGACACGGGCAACAAAGAAACCCTTAATGTGTATAAAGGCCTCCAACAGGCACTGCTCCGTGTACTTGAATCAACACAATTCACTTGTCGTGTTGCCTTTTCACCCATGCTGTCTCAGGTAATCAGCAACACATGGTATCACAAGGCATACCTGAGGTTTCCCAAATACGTAGGGCAGGAGACAGTGCTGGTTTGCTAAAACCTGAACTTCTAGTAGCACCCAACCTGTGTGTGGAAAGGATGGGAGGCATCCTACATCTAGGATGAAATGCCACTGTCATGACGCAACTTGACAAGTATTGGTGGCGTGCAGCCTGAGTATTGCCACTTGTTAACTACTGAGACTTCTCTGCAGCTTCTCAGCAAACTAAAGTTGATGACAGCCATAAACTGGTTTTAAAACAGCAGATGTTTAGCACACTCCTGCTTTTCCATTACAGTTCAGTTGTGCTAGATTCCCAGCTCAGAGGTGCTGTCCTTGCAGACAAAGGGCTTAGCTGGTAGGATTACTTTGTGCTTACAGGTACATCTGCCAGGGTTTCCATGGTAATATTTTGTCATTGCCAATCTGCTTTTTGTTAGTCTCACTAAATAATTTGATATCTTTCCCAAACTGGCAAGTGTTGACTTGTTTTGTTCCATTTCGTTTATTGGAAGGACTACACAGTGTAACACTAAGAGTTCTGTCCTGTAATCCTCAAATACCTATCCATAGGTAATGTTTTTAGAGGTATCCATAGTAATACCTCCAAAAACAAAAAAGAGAGGGAAGAATTCTTACTACACCAGGGACAGGGAATGATGCTTGCTCAGGTTAACAGCATAAGGATCTTATTTCTTCTTTAATATAGGGAGGAAAATACACTGCTTGACTTTACCTCTCCTTTCAAGCCTCCGTATTTCAACCTATTCTGCTGTATCACAATTCACACATCTGGAGGAGACAGGATAGAATACATCCAGTGCAGTACCACACCAAACAACATCTGTTTTTATAAATACAGTGGCCTTCATGGCAGCATCTGGAGGCTCTAGGTGTTGCACTGTCTTTGTAAAGAACACTGGAATGTGTTCTTCAGAATAGGAGATGGAAGTGCACTAGGTTCATGCATGTTGAACATGGAGCTTTGCATGGCTCTGATGGTGTATTGGGTTTGTGTCACAAGGTTTTGCTAGCAGGGGGGACATCAGGGGTGGCTTCTGTGAAAAGGTCCCAGAAACTTCCTTTGTGTTTGACAGAGCCTGTGCCCGCCAGCTCCAGGAGGAACCCACTGCTGAACAAGGCTGAGCCCATCAGCAGTGGCTGTAGTGGCTCTGGGGTAGCATGTTTCAGAAAGGGGAAAAAACTGTGCTGTAATAGGGGAGTGAGAATATGTGAGAGCAACAACTCTGTAGACACCAAGACCAGTGCAGAAGGAGGGGAGGAGGTGTTCCAGGCATGGGAGCAGAGATTCCCATGCAGCCCATGGTGCCACCCATGGTGAGGCAGGCTGTGCCCCTGAAGCCCATGGAGGTCCATGGTGGAGCAGATCCCCACCTGCAGTCCATGGAGGGCCCCACACCAGAGCAGGGGGGTGCCCGAAGGAGGCTGTGACACTGTGGGAAGCTCACACTGGAGCAGGCTTCTGGCAGGACCTGTGCCCCGTGGGGAGAGGAGCCCACACTGGAGCAGGATTGCTGGCAGGATTGGTGACCCCACAAGTGTGAGAAGGAAAGAGCAGCACAGACAACATGTGGTGAACTGATCACAAACCGCATTCCCTGTCCTCTGTGCCACCATGAGAGAGAAAAGTAGCAGTGAAATTGAGCCTGGGAAGAGGGGTGAGGGGAAGTTGTGTTAAGTTTTGGGTTTTATTTCCCATTATCCTACTCTGATTTGATTTGTAATAAATTAAATTAATTTCTCCAAGTCGAGACTGTTTTGCCTGCGAAGGTAACTGGTGAGTGATCTATCCCTGTCCTTATCTTGACCCACAAGATATTTATTACATTTTCTCTCTCTGTCCAGTTGAGGATGGGAGTGAACGAGCAGCTTGGTGGGCACCTGGCATTTAGCCAGGGTCAACCCACCACAGAACGATTTCAGGAGAGGGCCTTGTGCCTTGTTAATTAGACCTGAATTTAGAAGTCTGCTTCTGAGCATCTTTGAATAACTTCTTTAAACAACATGGTTTGCTTCCAGATTTTTTACTGCATTTTCCGTTTCTGTACCTTTGTATTAATTTCTGTATACTTCTTTTTTTAAAACCTTCTTGTAATATAAAAAAAAACCCAACAAAAACTTCAAGAGTTTTTATTCCAAACATCTAACATACTGTACACTTCCTGGAAGCAATAACAACTTCTCTATTTTGCAGTGCAGTTTGTACAGGTGCTATTTTTATTGTGAGATAAAGGTAAAGAGTGCGATCCCCTGTAGCATTCTAGTTGTCAGGCCAAGATGCAGGGTCTTGTGCAGTGTAATGGCTTGTTGCTGTCAACCACTGGCTGTTGGCAAAGGGTTATATTAAGTCTCTTAATATGGAAATGATGGCTCACCTTGAGGCTATCTGTCACTGCAGGATGTTTGCAGCACAAGTTATGATTACACTTGCAACAGGAGACTGTCTTCCACAAATGTGGCACTTCTTGTCCCCAGGCCTGTGTAGCTGAATGGAGGAATACTCTAGCTTCTAGCACAATGGCTTCTCTCTTAACTCACCCCAGTGTGATCCTGGCCTCTGCTATTGTGATTAGGCATAGAAACTATTTGGATTATCTCTTCCTCTCTCAGCTAACATTTCTAATATGTCACATTAATTGTATATATCTCTTGCCTAGCTTCTCCTATTACATCAACCAAATACACTAAGATAAACCTTTAAAAATTCTGAGTCTTTCAGAAAGAGTGATTTTACAGTCACCTCAGACTGACAACATAAATGTTCCTGTGAGTTTTGCAAAGTAAAAGTACTGTCCAGCAGTACCACAGGATTTGGATGCTTAGCATTTGTAAGTCTCCTCCAAATACTGTCATTCTTGTGTCATATTCACACATGGCATTTTCATTTTCTCATCATGTTATCATTGAAATACTCATTAACAATGAGAACTTTTTTGCACAGTCATCTGCAGTCCTATCACTAAACTGCATAATACTTTAGTTTACTGCAGGCATCAAGACACTCAATCAAATGGACCAACTCGTTTGCTCCATGAACTTGCATATATATATATATGCACAGATATCTGAATGTATACACAAAGACACAGAAACATACAGGTATAACTCTGTAGCTATCATAGATGTACATCAGAATTTAATTGTATACATAGGAGAGAGAAAAGCCGGTTAATGAACTGATGTTGCTTTTCTGTTTACAAATTGATGAAGCTTATTACAATTCAATTTTTTCTACTATGAATGGAGCAGCTAGGGACAAGTAAATAGTTTACAATCAATCTTAGAATTACTTGGAGAGATTTTTACAAAGAAGGTACTAAAAATTCTATTTTAAAGGTGACTTCTCTAAACCAGGCTATATACCTTCAAGATACAGTTAGGTGTGATTCAGTTCAAAATCCATGCCTAATCCAGACAGTACTTTCCCTTATGTCGTATAAATACATCAGCTGAAAAGTGCCTGCCAGGATTTCACACTCTGTCAAGATCAAATACAGTCTGACACACTTTACATATTAAAAAAACAAAGTTAGAAGCAGAGTAGCCCTGCCAGCGGATGATATTTCAATGGACATCATACGTTAGACTCCTCCGTGACCAGCATATGTCAGCATATGTGCCTAAAAAGATCCATTCTGCTGTTCCAGGTGAGTGATACAAATGCTCAGATATCTGTTATTCCTACAAAGAAGTTATCTCTTTCAATCCATAGGTCCTCTTAGAGGTATGATGTGGCCCTGGATGATGGGGATAACACAGTGAAGTGTCACTTCTAGCGCTTGAGACCACACTGTTTAACAAGCTCATTTAGTGACTGAAGATGATTGAAAATACTGATTAAAAAATGTACCCTATGGCTCTCACCAGCTTAAGGTCGACCTGCAACATACCACCTGGACAACCTGGGGGCTTTCCTTCAAGGTTTCCATGAATTTCATCACATCACCACCTGTTTTGCATCTAACCATCAGCATACAGAGGTTTAGGAGGCAGGCAGGAGATCATCCAACAATAACCACCTAAGCACATTGAGTTCCCCTTCCTAGCCTGAAACCAGG